GATCAAAAAGTGCACTTCAAGAAAGGAATGCAAAGAAAAATATATGTGTAAAAAAAAAAAAAAAAAATTAAAATTGGGATTAAAGGGAAAACTGTAAAATGGTTCAGGTCTACCTGGGGGAGATGTTGAATATAAAGCTTGGAGAAAGTCTCTCTAAGCAGTTAAAGCAGCGAGCATAATTTATCTCCCATGTTATGTTGTAGTGGGGGCCTTAACACAATGGAGTTACAAATATTGCCATTTATTTTCTTCACTTTAAACAATCATTATTAAAGTGGCACTGTCACACCGAACTTACCTTTCTCCTAATGTTTCCTCTTCTCTTCCTCTCTCAGAATCTGTTCTTTTCTTTAAAACTTAAGACAAAGTAGGGACTACTTTGACTTACGTATTTTTCCTATGCTTTACTTTCTTTGACCAAAGAAGGAGCTTAAGTCGGCTCAATTTCCTGTGTCTCAGAAAGTACCCACACTTCTCCTTGACACAGGAAATGGAATTGACTTAAGCTCCTCCTTGGATCAAAGAAACCAAGCGTAAGAAATACATAAGACAAAGTAAGGACTAGTTTGTCTTATGGTTTAAAGAAAACTAGATCAGAAATAAAGAAAAGAACAACAGATTCTGAAAGATGGAGAATATGAAACAATAGGAGAAAGGTAAGTTCTGCGTGACAGTGCTGCTTTAAGTAAGTCTTAAAAATATATGGTGTGTGCCCTGATCTCTTTTTTTTTTTTTTTCTAAGCATGAACCTATCCAAAAGGACACATAAAAATGCAGTGTAAATCTTTGAGCAATTGTGGACCCTACTGGAGAAGCGTATGACAGCAACACATTCTTTACTGCCTGAAAGAGACCGGAGGAGCTGGGACACAAGCAAGCGACGAGTGCGGAGACACGCTCATGACCTAGCCGATTGCAGCGACCAAAGCCTGCTTTGAACAGTGTACCTGCTGCAAGACTGCGGTTGCAGAGGAATTCTGGAAGGACACCTCATGGCCGGAAGACAGGTACCCAGCTCATCCGCTACTCACCTGGCTCTCAATCCAAACAGAGCAGTCACCCCCACATGTAGCCCACACCCTCGGGAAGTCCTAAACCTGAAAGAGAAACAACTGCCGGGAGGGGATCCAGGGGAGCCCGCACTTGTTCCTGTGGTCACTGCCTTGGTTCTATTGCTGGCCGATTGTCCTCTGGATTCCAGCAATTCCTGTAGCGTTTTTCTCTTTAGGTTTGTGTAGTCTATGGATTGGTTCGGCTCACGAATGCTGGTTAAGTTCGGCTGGGAAGTACAATCCCACTTCTGCCACCAGTTATAGCTGACTCTGGGTAACCAGACCGTTACCTCCGCTAATAGCTTCTCAGGAACCACTTGGGATATAATGAGACCCATTTCCCCCCAGTAGCTGGACGACACACAGTTCTGGAGGTACAACACAATTTTATTGCCACACACTGCTTTTATGCATAGTCCCATGCAAAGGGTCTTCCATGCACATAAACAGTGGTTATCCCAGGATCCTCTATGCTTGGGGGTTCGCTGTTCCTTTGTCTTCCAAATAATAACAAATTTAAACCTATTTAGTTTAGAAAAACGTCGCCTGAGAGGAGGTATGATAACATTATACAAATATATTCAGGGCCAATACAAACCATTGTGTGGAAATCTATTCACAAACCGGACTATACATAGGACACGAGGCCATGCGTTTAGACTGGAAGAAAGAAGATTTCGTCTTAGGCAAAGGAAAGGTTTTTTTACTGTAAGAACAATCAGGATGTGGAATTCTCTGCCTGAAGAAGTGGTTTTATCAGAGTCCATACAGATGTTCAAACGGCTGCTAGATGCATACTTGCAAGAACAGAATATTCAAGGATATAATCTTTCAATGTAGGGTAATAACTGCTTGATCCAAGGATAAATCTGACTGCCATTCTGGGGACAAGAAGGAATTTTTTTCCTAGCTTGTTGCAAAATTGTGCTTCAAACTGGGTTTTTTTTTGCCTTCTTTTGGATCAACAGCAAAAAACAAATGTGAGGTAGGCTGAACTTGATGGACGCAAGTCTCTTTTCAGCTATGTAACTAAATATGGAAAGCCCGCCACTCAGGCAAGGTGTCTCCCGCCCAGGGCGGCAGCGGTGGTTCCGCCACATTATTGCACGAACTAATTCCGCAGAGCTTTACAATATTATGAAAGGGGGGGGGGTGAAATTTACAATAAATTAGACAATTACACAGTGACACAGGAACAATAGGTAGATGAGGGCCCTGCTCAAACGAGCTTACAGTCCAGAGGAGGTGGGGTACAAATACACAACAGCGCAGCAAGGGTGACAGCCACCAAACAAGGTTGAGAAGTAGCAGAGCTGGAGGTGAGAGTGAAGTATGATTTTTTTTTTTTAGGAGAGCAAGAGACAGATTTGGAAAAGTATAGTTAAGTTACTCTGGAAGTCCATAAGCATTTCTGAACAGATGTGTTTTGAGGGAGTTTTTAAACAATTGAAGACAAGGTGAGAGTCTGATGGGGGTAGGCAGGCTGTTCCAAAAAAAAGGGAGCCGCCCGCAAGAAGTCCTGCAAGCGCGAGTTAGCAGTAAGGGTGCGAGCAGCAGACAGGAGAAGGTCACTGGCAGAGCGAGAAGGGGCATATCGATAGATAAGTGCATTATTATTATTCTATTCATAAACAGGGCTATACATAGGACACGAGGTCACACAATTGGGCTGGAAGGAAGGCGATTTCATCTAAGGCAGAGAAAAGGTTTGTTTTTTTTACAATAAGGATATTGAATTATCTACCTGAAGAGGTGGTTTTATCAGAAGCTACAAAGATGTTTAAGCTGTAATTGGATAAATACTTGCAAAAAGATAACACACAGGGATATAATTTCGAATTACTGGGGTAATGGCTGCTTGATCCAAGGAGACATCTGACTGCTATTTTGGGGTCAAGAATGGATTTTTTCCTAGTTTGTTGTAAAATTGGAAGCGCTTCAGACTAGGTTTTTTTTTTGCCTTCTTTCGATCCACAGCAAAAACATGTGAAGAAGGCTGGCCTTGATGGACGCAAGTCTCTTTTCAGATATGTAACTATTATAGATAAGTGCATTAAACAATGTGTAAATTAACGTGTCTCATGGCTTATGTTACAGGAGTCAATAGGTTAGAACTGAATGTTATATGGAATAACATAAGTGCATGGTAAAGAATGTACATGTAAAAAGGCAATATCTGCCAGCTGAGTGCCTGATTACCAGCACTCATAACCTGATAGCAAAAAAAAAAAACTGCAGCAGACTACCACCTCCATGATTTGAGGAAAGATTTAAAAAAAAAAACAAAAAAAAAAAACTGCTGTGTGCCAAGATGCTAAGAATGTGCAGCAGAGGATTATCGGAACCAGACAGCAGCAACTAATAATGCCAGAGGTTGGCCTAGAAGAGGTATGGGAGAGACATCAAAGACAAGATATTAATTAATGCTAATAACAGACTTAGACTTGTAATCAGTATTTAATGATAACCAATTCCTGTATTTAACAAGAATGTTCTGATCTGCTTCCTGTGCCAAATTACATACCACAATTCCCATGCAGCCAAACACTGCCCCCTGCTGGTTCAATAAGCCCTGGTAGTCAGGCTTGCTGTGAAGAACGCTATCCTGAGAGGTCGGTAAGTGTAAAATGCTGGCCGATGGAGATTCTGGTAATTTATTTTCTGTGAACTGCCTTGGAGAGAAGAAAAACACAAATAAATTATTGTAAATCCAAATAATAGAGGAAGAAAAAAAAACAGGAAAATAGGTTTTTCTAAAAAGATCAAAGCAACTCCAGATACACAATTGCTTTCTTGCTCGGTAAAGACATAAAATAATGATGATGTTTGCTTTCTGTTCTTCTCTTTAGAAATTCTGCAGTTTGTATCACCTGAACAAAAAACTTACTGTGAAAGCTTAATAATTACTTTTATCAGACAACTTGAAACATTAGCCTGCCACTGAGGAAAGGGTCAGAAACACATTACAGAGGTACACTCCAAGTACCATAACCATTTATGCACTTTGTCATAGGCAACCTTCGGCACTCCAGATGTTTTGGACTACACCTCCCATGATGCTTTGCCAGCATTATGGGTGTAAAAGCATCATGGGGGATGAAGCCAACAACATCTGGAGTGCCGAAGGTTGCCTATCCATGGCCTAGGTTATAGTGCAGGAGATCCCTGCCTCATTCTCTCTGTACATAACTGAAGCAATTGGAGAAAACTGAGGCAGCTATAAGCCCATACTAATCTGAGAGATGTCACATTATACTTTCTGCCCATTAAAGTACTTGTATCATATGAGGAAGCTGGGCATGTACACGTTAAATAAGCCACTAAATATACTAACAGCCTCATTCACAGCTTACAGTGAAGGTAACTGTAAGAAATGTGAATTTTAATGGAAGTGCCACAGCATTTTGGAGAGCGCTGAAGGCCAGTCTCCTGCCCACAGACTAATGGCCTGGTCCAAAGAGCACCTAAAAGGGGTTATTGTCATTGGGGAGGCCGCGGAAGCTTGCTCTGCTTTCCAGTCAGGCTTGAGAACCTCTGGGGATCGCCAGAACTCGTCACTGGGGAGGCTAAGGAAGCTTGCTCTGCTTTCCAGTCAGGCTTGAGAACCTCTGGGGATCGCCAGAACTCGTCACTGGGGAGGCCAAGGAAGCTTGTTCTGCTTTCCAGTCAGGCTTGAGATCCTCTGGGGATCACCAGAACTCGTCACTGGGGAGGCCGCGGAAGCTTGCTCTGCTTTGCAGTCAGGCTTGAGAACCTCTGGGGATCGCCAGAACTCTTTTTACATCCTGATCACATGACTGGGGATACCCTGTAACACCTTGTAACTACTTCTCGGATTGGGACTGTGCCAAGGTCTGGTCAATCTTTTAACAGGTATTGCACGGTCCCCCAACCTGCAAATAGGGCACTATTTGGAAGAGAGGTCAGTCTGGCATCAGATGTACTTGGGGCTTGAGAGCATTTGCCTCCCTAGAGGGCCACGAACCACTTTTTGGAGACCAGGACTAAGCTGCAACCCGGTAAAAGTTAAGAGAAAAAAATAAAAACACTGATCCACTCACATCAGAGACTATTTGGACAGCAAGGGGGCTCGGTAACAAGCTTTCCAGGGATATATATTTTTGGTGGTACAGTCCAGGGAAAGGAGGCTCTGGTGGACATTTTATATGCTGTGCCTCTAGAACTGTGATGGCACAGCAGGGAGCCGATTGACCTAGCTGGGGATAATGTAATTAAATCCCCAGACAGAGTGACTCTGGGGAGGGACAATTTTGTAGTACATTCTATTGTAAGAAAGACCTCCTTCAGAGAGACTCAACATTGTTACATATAAATTGCTGTGTTGTGTGCAATAAAAATTTATTGTGCACCCTAAATTATCTAATGTATGGGGGAAAGGCTACAGTAAAGCTTCAATCACTGCTCTACAGAAGAGAAGGTCTTCAGAGCTATATTCACTGCAGCCAAGTCTGGTGGAAGAGGTCCTCCGTGACCCCAGTCAAGTTTGAAGCTCTCCAGGGTTTCTGATAGCAACTATGAAGCTGACCTGGCGGCGATACGGGAGTATGGGAGCTCCGTCACAGTAATTAATAAACAAAGCATGTAGGAAGCCATTAGTGATAGAGATGGCAAGATTTCAAGATGGATTCTGTTCATGAAAGGTGTTGACCCTCGCATTTTTAATAACTAAAATTTGTTTACCAACAGCTATAGTTTGAGACAAACAGAGGAACAAAAGGACAAGCATACTCCAAACGGAACAGAGACAGAACATTCTGCATCCTGGAAGAGGGGTGCTGGACATGTTCTCCATTACGTGCAGCAATAAAATTGCTTGTGCAAAGTTAAACGAACAACCCAAACACCTAAAGCACTTTACATTCTTTAACAAGAAAGTAGTTGATTAATCGCACAGGGAATCAAAATGAGATTTGAAAGAAAAAGCAGAAGGGAAATATTTAACGAGCCCCACCACATCCCCCCCCTTTTCCTTCCCCCCCCAACCCCAAATATGAAAAAATAAGCAAACAATACTTTTTATGCTGGAGCAACCCATCTTTCATGCATCATTCAACCTAATGAGTTAAAATCATTGATATATATATATATATATAGTACTAACCTAGAGAAGTCGTCTGCCTTCTGTTTGTAGTCCTCAAGGAGCTTGTCCCAGCATTCAGTCTCTTCAGAAAACCTAAGAAAACAGAAAATGTAATTTTAGTAATTGATCTATGAACAAACATTCTAAGTCCCTCAGTCCCTTCCCCCTCATTCACTCTACTCTGCACTCCAGCCCCCCCTTTTCTCAGTCCCCCATTAATCCCCCCACACACTGTCCTCCCTGCCCCCCTCCCCCATTCATCCCCCACGCTCTCCTCCAGTCCCCTCAGTCTCCCCCCTCAGTCTCTCACCCTCACACTTTCCCCCCAGATCTCCCCCCACACTCCAGGTCCCCCTGGCTCTCTCCCCTCCCCGTGGTCCCTCCTCTCTCCCCCCGCCGGGCCGGGCATGCTCCGTGTGACAGGGGGAAGGACTCCCAGGCTGAGGTTTCAGGTCTCTCAGAGGAAGCCGGATCTCTCCCAATAACAGCTCCCACCCCCCCAGGCCGAGCATGGGAGCAGCACGGAGCCCCGGCCGGGGGTAGAGCGGGGGCCGCCAGCTGGGCCTGTGCATCCCCGGCCTGCGGTAGGGAGCGGCCGCCAGGACCATGCAGCCCTCTCCGCAAAGCTACGACTTCTACAGCGAGGAGAATGGCCCCAGGTGGAGGGGGCTCTTCGTACAGGCCCTCAGGAAGGTGGGTTAGAGGGGCAACTACAGGGGGCTTATAGAAAGGGTGCCGGGGGGCTTATAAAATGGGGAGACAGGGGGGTTTACAGAATGGAGAGACAGGGGGGCTTAGAAAATAGAGGGGCGGGGGTATAGAATGGGGAGACGGGGGGCTTACAGAATGGTGTGTCAGGGGACATGGGGGGCTTACAGAATAGGGGGACAGGGGGCTTACAGAATGAGGGTATGGGGGGGGCTTACAGAATAGAAGCAGGGGTATTAAAGAATGGGGATTTAGGTGACACAGGGCTTATAGAATGGGGTGTCCGCAGGCTTATAGAGAGGGAACAGAGGTTTATCAATAGATTGTGGTGTCAGAGGACAGGGGGCTCATAAATAGGGGTGTCAGAGGATGAGAGTATAGCATTGCAATGGTAATGTGATGATAGTGAACAGGTAAGGGCTTGTTCAGTTAACAGTGAATCAAAAGCCAAACTACAGAATTAGGGCAAAATAGCTGATTTGGAACAAAAAAAAATATTTTAGCTAATCACAGCTTGGCTATTTTAATCCTGAATTTTGCAACTTGGTTTTTAATTCACTACAGGACGCTGTTTAATGAATAACCTCAAATGTCTTTCCGTTTTCATACGTTGTATTTGTTGAGCGTATTGTATGTGTTTTGTGAAATTACAGCAGTAATTAAATGTAAGCTCCTGAGTCTTGCTTTGAATAACCAAGAAGTCATGTTATCTACAGCCTCTATGTACAAGGCCACTTCTAGACCGATTAGGTGTTTGCGTCCTGTTTTCTAGAAGGTCATCCAGAATCTGACAACAGCGGGACTAAAACTGATTTCATAGAACAATTATGGGATAAATTAATAGTACCCATGACATGAATCCTATTGCTAGCATCCATTGATGGCAGTCACAGATCTTCCCTCTCGTACTTCATATGAGCTTTTATTGATGAACAAAGCAAGAATGCGTTCACACATATCCATGTCTGTCAGGGTTATTCACAAAAATAGCTGATATTCCAATTCAACTTTAGTCACAGCATGGCTATTTTATCATAAGTTTCGCCAACCAAATTTAATCCACTAGAATTCGGTGTTCAGTAAATAATGTAAGGGTTTTTTTTTGTTTTTTTCTACATTGTAATACATTTAATTTTAATTTTACATTTAATGACATTATTTAAAAGGTTATTCCAACCACCATGACCACTTCAGTGATTTAAAGTGGCCATGGTGGTAGGAGTGAGAATGTGTAGTGTTTCAGCTTTAAACACTGCACATACTGAGATAATTCTGTGCTGAGGGCTAGTTGAACCCCCAGTACACGTAACATTAGCAGTTCCGGGTTGCCTATGTCAGTTCTGTGCATATTTTATGTCTGTTGTAAACTCTCTGTCAGTAGTGGAGGCGTGCTGCAACGCCAGGTCTGAGTTCTTAAAATGATGAAGGGGTGATGCTGTACTGGTTACGGTGCTTGGAGTGTTCCTTTCACTCAGTTTGTTCCCAAGCTAAACCAGTGGTGGCAGATGAAATGGCTCTCATCTAGGACAGTAACTTTCAGTAATCTCGGACAGCATTGGGACATTTATAGTTCTTTGCTACCCTAACAGTGAATAATATAACCCTAATAGATGCTTACATTAACTCCTTCCTATGCTATGCTGAAACTTAAATTGACAATAAACTTTATCCCCTTCACTGCTTTAATTTCAACCATGACACACTAAATATTACTTAAAAATATCATGCAATATTAAAGACACATGCCATCTTGAGGTTTTTCAGACCTTGATAAACTACTCCGCCTTTGGTCTTATGGTTTCCGATGTTTTCAGAACTCATTGATAGCATTACAGTCTCATCATAGACATCTATCTATGTATCTGTTTACTCTTGCCTTGTTGATATTTTTTGTCTGTTTAACACTTGCATCTTGGTACATTAACGGATTGATAGCTTGAAATATTATTTGATGTAGCAGTAAAAGCTTCTAAAATATTTGTTTTTGTGTCTTTAAGCCACCTACCAATAACCTTTACATTCTATTTTATCTTTCGGCAAAGTCTAAAATATGTTAACGTTTTTCAGAGAAATGTATGTATCAGATTAAATTTTTTTTTTTTATTGATTTAAAAAAAAAATATATTGTAGTGTGGGGGTAGAGAACAGAGAGAGAGGCGCAACCAAATCAATCAGAAAAACACATGCAAACCTCACATTGAATTAATAAATTGTTCTCCAGTGCTTTACAATGGTACAATGTTACTTTCTAGTAAATAATCATTTATTTAGGTGAACAGAAACATGATACGATGCGGGTTCCTAAAAATCAAGTTTACAATCTAAATACTTCACATGATTATTGATAAAATGTTTACTTTACAATTTATTTTTGTATATTTTTGTTTCACTTTGATCTTTCGTATCATTTTCTTTAACTACCTTGCTGTTTACGTTTTGTATGTATCGCTATGTTTTTGTTTTTTTTTTGGTTGTTTTTTTTTTTGCGCTGTTAGAGCAAAACAAAACGATAGCAGAAAAAGTTCTGTATCAAAATGTAGGGTTTATCAATCGCATTCTGTAGCAAGTGGTGTGCCTGCTTTAAAAAAAACTTAAGGTGAACCATGTCCACCAAATGTTCCTACAGAGGAGGAGTTGAGTTGTGTCTGGCAGACTTCAAACAAGATGCTAAACTGTTAGTGAACTGTTTGACTACCTACATTAGATAGCTTCAGGGCACTCATTGCACGATAACCACTAGAACAAGCTTGGAGTGTTTTATGTTTTACCCGTTTAGCTTCAGCTGGACTCTAGAGAATATGTCCTACTCATTTAACATTAGCTAGAGTTTATAAAGTAGAATCTTATACACTCTTTATCATTAGCTGAGCTATACAGGATGGATTGCCCTACTCTTTTAGCATTAGCCTGGCTCTTTGGAATGGAATTTTAATGTTAATACAAAATTTTCTGCCTTATTTGTGTGATATGTATTAACTATGCTTTCTGGACAGAACATAGGTGATTCCAAGTGAGAAGCTTACTTGCAAAATAAGTCCATGCTGTCCTTCCTGCCCACTCCATTGAAAGCAAATGATGGTAGAAATCTCTATATATGCTAACATTTGCTAGTGATCTGAATTTGCATTTGAGAGCCTTTTACCATATGCCTTTCCAGTTAGGTTTTTCTCTGCGGTTCTAAAACTTTCCGCAAGGTTCAGGTATCCATGTTTAGATACGTTATGTATTTTTTGTTTCTTTTTTTCCTGTTGCTATCTGCTACGTCACTCACTTGGTATTTTCAGTGGACAGAGGCCAAATCTTTGTAGTGCAAACTAGCTATAACTTATGTTATGTGTCTAATAGGCACTCTGTTTGCTGCTTTAATTTTACCATTGGAGATAGCCCATTCATTCCTAGTGTTTGTATTATTTGCCAATTTCATTGCATTGGTGAAGAAGGGGCCTGCGTGATTATACACTCCATGGATGATAGTTGACTGTACACACTGTGTAGAACAGGACGACTTGCTATTTAAAAACATTCTTTTTTTTCCCATTTTCTTTATATGGGTATATATATTTAGCTATAGTTTAAGATATTTGTTTTTGTGCCCTATATGGCTTTGCATTATTATGTTATAGGTAAAGGAAAACTCCAAGCAGCACAATTACTACAGAGAGCTGTTGTGGTTATGGTGGTAGAAGGGCCCATGCACTAGAGATCGACCAAAATTTATTTTTATATAGCCGATACTGATAGTCGGTAAACTTTCAGGCCGATAGCTGATAACGTACCGATACTGATATTCTGTACATTTGTTTTGAAAAAAGAAACAATTTTTACATAAATCTACTGTTAACTGAACATGTTTATTATTATTTATTTATTTTTGCAAATCTTTTTTTTTTTTTTTTTTAATTAAGTGGTAAATGCACAAAATATAGTGCCAGATAGATTTTTTATTTTTTTTATGTTTTCAAGAATATTTAGTGTTCTTCTCCTTTCCTTGTCCCTTAGTTATCTTCTACCCTGTCCCTTAGTGTTCCTCTCCCTTCCCTGTCCTTTAGTGTTGTCCCCCCCTCCCCTGCCCAGTGATCTACTCCCATCCCTGGTGTGCCTCATAACCTCTCTTGTAGCGTGGCAGAGCAGATCGCGGTACAGGAGCTTCCGTTTTCTGTACCCGGCTGGACTGACAAGAAGTGCTCTTTCAGTGAGCACTTCCAGTCAGTCCTGCCAGATACAGGAAACTGAAGCTCCTGTACCGCGGTCCGCTCTGCTCCACTCGACCACACTACATTGTGTGACTGGTAGGGGGAGCGCTGTGCGCTTCTTTCCTGCTGGCCACTCGATTCTTGCGTCGGTGGATAGCAGGGCCATTGTGTCCATAAGGCGGACGTGGGTTCCGCCTTATGGACACGAAGGCCCTGCATGCGTCCACCTCACATTATCGGCAATATCGGTATCAATAGTGGCTGATACAGATACTTGCCAAAATCCAGAATATCGGCCAAACCGATAATCGGTCTATCCCCACCAGGCACTCCCCCCAACCTAATTGCAAATGGTTTGACGACTTGTGGTCAACCACTAACCTTCTCTATTGAGAACTGGAAGTTCTCTGCTCAGATTCATGATCAAGTAATGCTCTCAGCCAATAATCTAGTCCTGCCCATTACGGCTTAGCACATGAGAGCTAATGGAACCTTTTATGCAGAAGCTGCAAGCTTTTAATGGAGGAAGTGACCAGCATCTGGCAGAGCCCATTTAGATGTCATGCAATTGGGTTGACTAGTTACTTTGGGGATGAAGTGCCATAGCACGCTGTAGTGGTTATGGTGCTTGGAATGTTCCTTTAATAAAACTAGATGGGGCTGGATAGCTGAGCAGGAACCAAAGCTTGGTTGTAGACTTTTTTCAGTTTGGTTACATTGGCAAAATGATTCACTTGTCAATTCATCACAGTTAATAACTTCATGCACCGTGAATGCAGTTTCTATCTGACAAGGCACAGTCAAGGCATTTTATGTAAATTATGTCATTTTCCCCATGGTTCTTGGAATTGTGTCCATCTTTCTCTGGTCTATGATTAAACCTCATTAAGGTGAGATGCATGAGACTATTTAGATAAGAATACAGAGTGCCTGAAAGATTATCAGCTGCTAACAATGTTTTTTGCTTATTCTTGTGGTTTTATCGCCCAGCTTGCTTTCTGATGGCTGCGTGGGTTAAAAGAAAACCATTGGGATATGTCACCATCAAAGTAGATTGAAAAAAATTGAGAAAAGAAGAGCAGATATAGAAAGAGACTCCAAATGATCTTGTCCTACCTAGAATCCTGAGTTTATTAATGGTTTAGCTTTCTAAACCATCACCTTTTATGCTTGTAAGATTATATATCAATATGTATATGTAAAATGTGTGCAATAAATAGGGGTGTGAAAACCCCCAGAAATTTGGGGATGGACTGCCATTCACTAAGAAGATTCTTAACTGAGATACTGAGGTGTGTGCCGTGTATTGATGGCCTTAGGCTTTCAAGTGTACTGTGCAATGTCTAGGTGTGATGTCCTTCCCACACATAATTATCATGTAATTTAAAATATATACATTCATATTACCCTAATCCCACTTGTCCCTGGTGCGGCCCACACTTGGCAATATACTACAGGGTGCGATCTATAGAACTGAGGCAAATTGGCTGATGCTGTGATCTGTTCATTCAGCAAATTTGTGACATTCTATCTGCGCTCTTACAGGGCAGTGTGTTGTTATGATGATCTGTCCGTAGGATCAGGTCTCACATATCTAAAGCTAGCACTTGTGCTATGAGTAGATTGCTCTGGAGGATGCTTAGTGAAGGCACTGGGGATGTACTAATACAGGGGGACGTATAGAGCATCCTATACTAATGTAGGTTCAGGTATGTAAAAAAACAAAACAGACTTGCCTCTGCAGCACTTCTGTGTCCAATGATGCCTTGCACATGCAGCCTTGATGTCTTGCACATGCAGCCTTGTGTAGTCTAAATACATTTTCATGGAATTTTTGTGTCAAGACAACCAAGTATACAGTGTGAATTGAATAAACAACCAAACAAACAGTGGTTAATAATTAAAATAAATGAAATTGCACAGCCCTTACCTAGCTTTTTAGTTAACTGATAGGTTGTGCAAAATACTAAGATACGATTGTTTTGCTTTAAAATTGCTCAACTTTTGCTCTATACATTATAAAACAATATTTCAAAGCCAAGTATCTTGGCATATTGATTTCCAGATGGCAAACAATTTCATAGATTGATAGTACCATTTACTTTGTTTTTTAATTTACATATATCAAATATGTGTTCTAATTCTCAAACATTTGCTACATTGTGAGAATGGTATAAAATATGTACTGCAGCGTTTCCATAATGCTGATAAAGCTAAATATTTTTCTGAGGCCTATAGGCGCTAAAATCCATTTTCTAGAATCTCATCTTTAACTCACAGCTTACTGTGAGTTATGATGACTCAGTGGGCAGAGATTTAAACTACTGTTACTATTAAAAAAGAAGTGCAAAAGTGAGAACAATCACTGTGGAAACCAGGTTAATCCTCATGAACATGCATTGGCTCCCAACATGCATTAGCTCCCATTATACACACCTCCCATGTGTAATGGGGATAGGATAGGCGGAGCCACGTAGGGGACATGTCCATGATGCATATTTTGTCACTGAACTTGTGCATACTGTAAAGGGCTATACTGTTCTGGGGTACATGGCTTGCCAGCCTTGCCCATGTACTCTGTGCTGGATAACCCTGAGTTAACTTAGTGCAGCAGGGGCATGGTAATGATCCGTGCTCTCTAATTTCTAACGACTTTTGTCATTTATGGCACTATGAGGATTCCGGTCAACTTTACACTTGTCTGCCAACAATGTTTTGTGTTAAATATCTACAAAGTATTGAAGTGTTGTTGTACAAAATTCTTTATATCCTAAATTGTCTTGTCAGATTATTAAACATAGGTTTTATTTGTTTTTAATATGGACCTTAAAATGACAATGGCCCTTTTTGCAGTCACTTTAAATTTGGCTTGTTCTACTTGATTTTAAGTTGTTTTCCATAACTGGTATTTTGTAGAGCGCTTTTATTAGCAACGATGTAGAGCCTAATATTTGGCACAAAGGGAGTGCATGTGCTGTCCTGGGCATATGCTTTGCAATCTGCACCAGTCTGTTGTTTGGTTGTACATATTTCTGGGCGTATGGTGAGCTTTTATGTTTGATGACTGTCTGCAATCATTTCTATCAGCTCCTGGCTTTTAAATGGTATATCTTAATTTCACATCTCTCCTGTGAGACCATCATCTAAACCATGGGTCGTCAACCTGGTCCCTACCGCCCACTAGTGGGCGTTTTAGGATTCCAGGTGGGCGGTAGGGATTTCTGAGGCTAAATCCTCTTTTTAAGAGGATTTCTCCTTTTGGGCGGGCGCGAGCGGCTCTGCATGCGCAAGTCTTCAGTGACCGGCAGGAGGAAGCGCTCCCTCCTGCCAGGCCACCTTCTGGACCCCCGGCATGGCAGCGTTCTAATCAGTCGCGGCGAGGGAGCTCTAACCTCTCTGCTCTGCTCCCTCGCGCGATGTTTGCTGATGCCGCGGGAGCCGGAATATGATGTCATATTCCGGCTCCCGGCATCCGTAGACAGTCCGCGAGGGAGCAGAGCAGAGAGGTTAGAGCTCCCTCGCTGCGTCTGATTAGCCGCCCGCCTAAGTGAAGCCCCACTGGACCCCAGGGACAGATCCACACCAGCTCTCCAGGTAGGGAGGCTGGGTGGATATTTAATATTAATAATTTGTGTGTACATGTGTTTGTCTCTAAGTGTGTGTGTGTGTGTATGTGTGTGTGTCTGTAAGTGTATGTGTGTGTGTCTGTAAGTGTATGTGTGTGTGTCTGTAAGTGTATGTGTGTGTCTGTGTCTGTAAGTGTATGTGTGTGTCTGTGTCTGTAAGTGTATGTGTCTGTCTGTAAGTGTATGTGTCTGTCTGTAAGTGTATGTGTCTGTCTGTAAGTGTATGTGTGTGTCAGTAAGTGTGTGTGTGTCTGTGGGTCTGTCTGTGCATGTGTGAGTGTCTGTAAGTGCATGTGTGAGTATGTGTATATTTGTGTGTATGTGTTTCAATGTGAGTGTGTGTGTGTGTGTGTATGTGTTTGCCTGTGAGCAGAGTACTTGTAGAATAGAAGAAAGAAGGTGCAGAGTACTTGTAGAATAGGAGAAAGAAGGAGTAGAGTACTTCTAGTATAGGGGAAAGAAGGAGTAGAGTACTTCTAGTATAGGGGAAAGAAGGAGTAGAGTACTTCTAGTATAGAGGAAAGAAGGAGTAGAGTACTTGTAAAAAAGGAGAAGGAAAGAAAAGGAAAAGGAGAGAATTGTTGTTGACTAATAATAGTAAGTGGGCTACCTAGCTCAGCCTTCCTACTGGGCATTGCTATAAGGAAGGTTAAAAAATAGAAAAAAGGGGAAAAAGGTGGGAAGGGGAATTGAGGAGGGAGAGGAGGGGAGCTGACGCACAGATGAGAAATCATTTTATGAGCAAACAAAGAAGTCTTCCGATTATCACTGAAAGAGGAGACCTTCGTTTGTTCCTTATGAAAATCGAACCAGATATCAAATATTTAGTCTCGCAGCATCAACCTCAAGGATCTCATTAATCACTAGTAAAGGTAAGTTCAATTTACTTTATTGCTTCCTCATTAAACTTTATAAAGTTAAAAACATTATAAACATGCATAAAGTAGAAATAAAAAGATAAATGTACGTTCATTTATGTATTTTTTAAAACACCCTCCTTTCTAAAAAATATTCCGCGCTTGCGCGAAAACTGGTGGGCGGTAAGGAAATTTTTCCATCAAGAAAGATGCATTAGTGGGCGGTAAGTGGAAAAAGGTTGACTACCACTGATCTAAACAGTGCTTTCAGTGTGACGGTGAAACGTAAGCAATGATTATGATTTAGCTCTTATGAGCAGGGCCCTCGATATCCTCTGTTCCATTGTGTCTATCTCGTTTAATAGCAATTACTTGTCAGTTAGTCTACCTATTGTACAGAATTTGTTGGACCTTTATAAATAATAATAATAATTCTGTTGGCAAATTATTTATGTAAAGATAAATTATGACGTAAACCCAACCCTCTTGTGGTGACATCACCTTTGATCCTTTACACTTTTACAACGAAGAATAACAAGTTTGCTATTAGAATCTAATTATGCATTTATGTAAGGTTAATTATGCATCTTTTTTCACCTTCTTTCAAAGTTGCTATCTGAAAAGGCACAGACAGGGCATTTTATGTTAATAATGCAGTTTTTCTCATGGTCCTTGGAATTGTGTCCATAGTTCTCTTGTCTATGATTAAACCTCATTTAGCCAAGATGCATGAGGCTATTTAGATAAGAATACAGAGTGTCTGAAAGATTACCAGTTCGCAATAATGTGTGTTTTTTCTTGCAGTATTTTCTTGCAGTTTTATGGCCCAGCTCATGGCAATTTAGAGCAATGTTTGGCTCAATGATACAATGATGTGCACATGTTCCATCATTGATGCTTTGCACACAACTATAAACCTAAATTCTTAGATGCAGCTCTCTCTCCAAAACACCTATAAATTATGTTAAAGGAGCACTCCAAGGATCTCAACATCTTCAGTAGTGGTTTTGGTGCCGGAAGTGCCCTTACTCCACCCCATTGTAAGTATTCAAACTATTTTAGAACGGTTTGACTGGTGCCTGCTCCCTGCCTTCACTACTTCTTGGTTTGGACAATATTAATTGACCCAGCCATTAGCTGAATTCTGAAGTTCCTGTTTATCACTCAGATTGAAAGGATCGCGGGCACCTGGTACAGCAAGGTCAGTGTTAAACCACTTGTAAACAGTTTGACAAATTATCATTGGATGGTGGCTGGAGACTCCTGGTCCATAACCACTACAACACAATGTTGTAGTTATGGAACTTCGTTTAATAACCTTGGAAATTACATCAGCATCTAATTCAGCCCTGGTACAGCCGTGGCACACATTGCATTGGAGGAGAAGCAGTGGTCAATGATGGTTGAGCATCCTACAATTCCTAGCATGTGAATACATATTAAGGGTTGTGGAGTGCTCCCCCACATCATTTAGTGCAGAGCTTATCAAGCCATTAATGACCCCCGTGTTTACATGAAAAATGTATAGTGAAATTTTCATATACATCACATTGGAGAGATATGTATTGGTTAGAATCGTATGCCCAAACTCTGGGGGTTGAAGAGGTTGACTAAATTCGTTATAAAATTAAAGGGAATTTATAATCCCAAAAATTACAATTGTTATTTCAGGACTATAGATTCTCTTCTGTCCACCCCTTTTGAGTTTAAAAATTTACGTTAAGCAAGCCACTGCAGCTCCGCATAGAAAGCAGGGGAAAAAAGCGTTTTTCACGGGCACTAACCGGCAATACCGAGCACCCAGACATTGCACCCGTATATTTAACCACCATGGGATGTAAGAAAAAAACAAACAAACCGGACCGACCAAACCTGGGGATGAACATCGGCAAATTATGGCGCCAGGCACATGGCGCGAGCAGGCCCAAGATGGCCGCGTTGTCAGGCGGCTGTTCCGATCTCTCGGACGACCTGGCCTCAGAGGAGGATGAGACTTTCTTGCACACACCGGCGAAACCCCTGCCAAAACAGACAGAACCGGACACATCCCTGGTCACAATCTCAGTCCTGACGGGTCTCCTTGCGGAACTACAGACCACCCTACAAGCTGACATTGCCATGATACGATGGGGTCTGCAGGGCCTGATAGACCACATCGAAACAATAGAAGTAACTGCTCACCAGGACTACCATCGGATATAGGCGCTGGAGCAGGTGGTACAGGACCTCCAACGGCAAAATCAGGCCCATGAACGCCGCTCTGCGGCCCAAGAAGACCTATGCCGACGGAACAACCTGGAAATCAGGGGGGTACCCGATGTGGTCCCCAAAACGGAGCTGCTGCACTTAATAAGGAGAATGATGGGAGACTTGCTGCCACCAAAACAGGCCAAAGCCCCAGCAACCGCATCGAGTGACCTGATCATTCAATTCCGGAACGGAGCAGACAATACGGCAGTCCTGAAGGCACTCAGGGGTAAGCCACACTACCGCTTCGAAAATATGGCCATAGAATTCTACAGCAACCTATCAGGCAGCACAATGGCCTGGCGGCGGTCACTCAAGCACCTCACCTTATTTTTCCAACAGCGCAACATTGGATACCACTGGTGCTTGCCCCGCACGCTCCAAGTGACACATGGAGAGACTACCTACCCTTTCCAGAACCTACGAAATGCAGCCGCACTCTTAAGGGACCTAGGACTCCCGCAGGACTATCTAACACAGCCACAGCCGCAACCCACTAACAGACCTTCGCACAACTGGGACCCAAGCAAGGTCACTCCGTTCACCCCATGAAAACCCACAGCGGAAACGTATGTTACAGCAACCACATGAAGCCCTGTGAGGCTCTCTGACCGGGACTGAGCATGATTGTGACGATTCCCTTATTGCCTCTTGTTACTATTTTATGTTTTATGTTCCTCGTTTGGTCGGATTTCTTACGACATATTAAACTGGGCACTAGATGCCTGTTAACAGGTATAGCCCTCACACTGTCATGGCCCCCTTAGCCCCAGCCGTAGAGCCCCCTCACCTCAGACCCTTTATAATTAAAGGGCCTTAAGTCAGCAACGCATATAAGACACACGCTGCACCCGATGAGCTGGATAGCAAGCTAACTTATGTTATTTATTTTTATTTTAAGAATGATTTAACCTGACGGATGCTTCCCCCACACTAACAGGGCGACCAGTGCTGGCACAGACGAAAGGGCACCCATAATAGCGCAGGCGAACTCACTTAAACTAAAGTTTAACCTAGGGCTCTTACCTGCCTAAGCTGCTCGCTCACCGCGGAGAATCACTTATCTACCCGGGCACACAGACCTGCATAAACGGACACCTAACCCTGGGACTAAACGTCAAGAAGGGGTCCGGAGGACACCTAGCATCAGACTCTTTAGGTAACACTACACACAGGGGACAGCCCCTAACCAGCCCCAACCTTATGTGTTATAACCTATGCTTAATTGTTTACTTTTCATTTAATTATATTTCATCGAAAACGGAACTGTACCACACATACCAATCACACTCACTATTAATGCTGATGTTTTTTTCTAGTTTAAAATTGTACCTCATCTTGTGACACAACTTCTCCAGCTTTAGCCTAATATTATTAGGAAAATGTGCTGTCAAATCGCATGCCATGTCAAACCAGTTGTCTCTAATTAGCTTGCCAATGCTGTTGTGGCACCGCAAGAAAAATGTTAACTGTCTATACATGCACAAGAAAAATAAAGAATTAAAAAAAAAAAAGTTTACGTTAAATAACTACCGTATGACTCACCTTGTTTCCAGCTCCAAGACTCTTATTCGAAGGAGGACTGGAGACTGCAGTAGAGATCAGCATGTTTGCTGACGTCTTCGCGATCACCTCCAATCCATTGAAAGCAACGAATTGGATGTGCGCGTGTATGACCAAACGCTGCGCTCCTCCAATTAAATCCTGCTAGAGGAAGCGCCTACAGTGGCCGTCAGGAAGATAACCACTAGAGGTGGATTTAATCTTAAAGAAACAAACAAAAAAAACACCTGCATTTTTTAACGATTAAAACTAAAGGATCACTGCACCCAAACCTTTATTGAGATGAACACAAACTGTTGGGCTAGGTCTAGGCAGGTGACTTTATAGGTAGCGTCTTCTTAACATAGGCTTCTGTTTACGCAAATCAAATATTCATGTAATTCAAGACTATGCATTGTATCATTTGCTGCTGACTTTACTTATGTTTGGGGTTCTTGGTAAATTAAAACTTCTATGTTTTTTTTAACTTAATTTTAGATTTTTGGTTTTCAATTGCATTCAATGTTTTGTGAATAATCCACAAGTTTGCAAATGTTATATGAACATATGACACATTTTTTGTGGGTTGTTATTCTAAGCATTTTTTATTTTAATTTTCATTTGCATGCACTTTCTCACCTAAAGATTCTCTCGCCCTTGCCCCCCCACACTCCGGATATTTGTGAAATGTGAATTTGAGAACCGATGTGAAATATTTCACATGAGGAAGAAATGTCTAAATTTTCGCTGAATCTTCTCGCACTCATTCCTGGCACACTGCAGTAATACAATGATACGTGGTTTCAATTTGGAGAATAAAAACATTGTGAAACATCCATCAACATGGGGAAAACCTAAGACAAATATATATTCAGTTTAACATTTTATTATATTTCAGAAATTCAAAACATAGAGAATATTTATTTTTTGGAGGAGACTATAGACAAACATAAAGTTGCACACTTTGCTAAAGATTATACTCCCCGTGAGAAAATACAGGCCATACTTCTTATGTATAATTTAAAGAGACACTATAGTCACCACAACAACTACAGCTTAATGTAGTTGTTCTGGTGAGTATAATCATTGCCTTCAGGCATTTTCATGCAAACAGATGGCCACTGGAGATGTTTCCTAGGGCAGTATTGCATAGTAGGCAGCGCTGCCGTTCAGCGTCTCCACGCTCTGCATGGGGATGCTGAATTTTCCTTTATAGAGATGCATCTCTATGAAGAAGTGCTGATTGGTCAAAACGGCGTTTCGCCCTGCCCCCAACCCGCATCCTTGCCAATTTTGGCCAATCCAGTGCTTTCCCTATGGAAAAGCATTGGATTGGCTAAAAATCAGCAATTCTGCTGATGTCATAAAGGGGGCGGGGCGAGCACCTGCGGACCCGCGTGGTGCTGGAAAAACAGTGAATTTAAAAAAAACATTTTTTGGGGGGGGCTGATGGGGGCAAGCCACCTAAAGGGTGGGTTTAACACTATATGGTCAGGAATACATGTTTGTGTTCCTGACCCTGTAGTGTTCCTAATTTAAGATGAATTTAAAAAAAAATAAAAAAATCAAGGGACCAAATATGAATAATTTAAAAGCAAGTTTAGTAAAAGACTAAAATGGACTTTGTGAACATTTTTTTCTGGGGGGGAGGGGGGGAGGTTTATGCCTGTCTTCAGTGATTTTGTTGGAGGTTTTTCATTTATACTTCTTAATTTGTTCTTTATGTAATTGTATCCTTTTTATTGACTTAGTATGCTTTTTATATAATATTTATCTGCGTACTTAATTATTTCTGTTAGTTGGCAGATCAGGTTTTAAACCGGTGGTCTCCAGATTTACGTTGTTTTTTACTGTCACAATTTAAAAGCAAGACATGCAAAGTGACAGAACCACTTTAACCTTATGTGCCACTGGTATCAGTTTTTCTAAACTCTAATCTTAAAGGAACACTCAGGTCTGTACCAGGAAGGGACTCTAGTGGCTGTCTGAGTGATGGCCGCTTGAGGTATCCCCATATACAATATAAACCCAGCCTTTTCTGAAGAACGGCACTGTTTGCATGGCTGAGACGGCAGCTGTAGTGGTTCTGGTGCTTAGAGTGTGCCTTTAATATTAATACCTCGTTCGTATCTCTTGTAGGTTTTTAGATCACCCTGTGATTGATTCAGATAATATATTAGTATCTTGCATCCATCTAACACAAAGTGTACTGCAAGTGAACTGCAGCCATCGAGCGAGGCTCAGATTACAAGCTATTCTTGGCCCCAGGAATCAGAGTATAGCGTCAGGAATGGCTAAGTTTGCCATTCATGGAGCCACAGCGATGTTTATTTTAACAATGTGAAATCCATGCAGACACAGGCTTATTGATTATTATTTTTTTCTATATAGAAAGGACTCCCTTAAGCTTAACATTTTGATCAGTGTCAATTCTGAAATGATACAGGTCTCTGCTGTTGTTTTATAGCTATTGCTATTGCTGAGGTATCTTCTACCATAGAGAAGTTAAGAGCAAATCCCATGTTTGAGATAATAATGATTTATTGTATGTGGAGTTTTTTTTAATGCTAATTATCTGCTAATATTCTCATTTTACTGACGATGCCTAACATAAAGTAAAATGGTGGCTTTTATATATTCTCTCACCTGTCTGTTTAACTTCATGGTGGGTGGGTGGTGTGTCTATTTACTTTGATTGCAGCCTGGAGGTGACACTGTAAATTGTGCTTTTTTTGTTTTATTTTGTGGGCTTGCTTCACTGCCGCATGTGTACAATTTAGTAGATCACGTGCACAAGCACCATTCCTGTGCCCTGGATATAATCTCATGTGCACAATTTATTAATTGGATTGAGCACCATAAATTAACTGTGATATGCCCACAACAATATAAAGCGTACACCATGTGCATGATTTAAAAATAAATATATATATGTATACACAGACACCCTGTCACCTCTAGGGCTCTGTAAAGTTTTGTAATATCACGTTATGAAAAAGCAATGCTGTGAAATATGCAAATACCTTATTTCGTGATCTTTTTATACAAATTATGTTAGTCCACACATGTACCATCCCAAATTCAGGTTCCTGCTCTGCAATTCCAGGTTTAGTTCATAATCAGCAGTACAAGTACTGGAATAATCTCTGGACTGTCTGTCCATGCTGATAACAAACAATTAAAAAACACTCTCTGCATTGTCTGTCCTTAAGTGGGGGCTACCAATGAGAGTGAAGCTCAGTTTGCTTTGCTAAGGTTGAACGTCGTATATGAATTCTCCACATGTGTTTTGATATAATATTTACATCGTCAATGTAAGTATTATGGTGAAATCATTTAGAAAGAACCAATGCTTTATACAGCTTTGTATAATAAAATGGAATGAGATACACATTGCTTTAAAGTGAACAATACACAAGGATAGTCACATCTAATGGGTGATCATTTTCCCCATGATGTAGTGTGGGGTTTCATTGAGCTTGATGGAGATTCCATAGTTTATTCTTTTATTTGGTTGATCAGCTGCAGAACCTTATATAGCCAATCAAGGTTTTTGTTTTGTTAGGGGTCTTCCTAAAATCATAGAGAGGCTGTGGGGAAGCAGCCAATAAAATTGATTGTCTTGATGATTGCTCCACGTTTTATATTGGTGACTCTTTTCTGAATCTGCCCCATTATTCTGTTTATTGTACGCCTCGTTTAGGATCTTCCTGATAGGGTTGTGTAACAGAATCTGTGAGAGGAATGAGAGACACACCTTATACCGGTATCGTACCCTGGTTGTATGCTTTAGGTGCAGGTTTTGCCAGTTTATCAAGTCTTCGAAGTTAAAAACTGTCCATTAAAATATTAGTTATCAGAGCCTCAGGCTAAAAGCACAACACATTTTGAAAGGCTTGCCTTGAAATGATTTTCCACCGTAGCACGTGAATAAGTTGTTCTTCTAGTATAAATCAGGGCATATCGTAAATTGAGGGCTTGGCACAGAGTGGCATCATGTGGATTTTGTTAATACCACAGACTTTAAAACGTGTTTTTAAAAATGAGAAATGGAAGAAAAAAAAAACTTAAATTGCTTCCTTATTTTTTTTCTTGCTAGCTTTTGTCAGTTTTTCACATTTTATGGTTTAAGTGAATAATTTGGTGAATTTGATAGTGTATCCCTATTTGAATTTGGCCATTCTTACTGTGGGATTCCATTATTGTACACTCAAATGCTAAGAGGGATTGATAGTGCTTCTAAGCTGCCTCAAGATTATTAAGGTTATTCACTAAAGTGAATTTCAGTTACAAACAAATCATGCATTAGTCGAATAACCGTGTCAGGGTTATTTGAGTCATCTGGAAATCCAAAGATCTATTGAGCCAGGAATATCACCACACGCAATGCTGCTAAAAGAGAGGAGGTTCCATTAACGGCGAGGTGGTTTATATTGGGATGCTGGCTTACTGCGCATGGATGAAAATAAACAAATATGGGAATGTAAAGAGACAGGTGTCATTCTAGATCAGTGGTTCCCAACCCAGTCCTCAAGTACCCCCTACCAGTCCAGGATTCAGGGATTACCCTGTTGTGTCTAAAGTGTTGTGTTTTTTTTCTTTCTTCTAAAAACACTTTAAACACAATTGGGTAATCCTTAAATCCTGGACTGCTAGGGGGTATTTGAGGACTGGGTTGGGAACCACTGTTCTAGATGGTAGTGCTGAAAGGACAAAGTGGAGAATGAGCTCTGTTCTCTCCTCTGTGTTGTAATTTTGTTTGCTCAGAAGGAGATGCCATGAACATCTACTGCGATTCTCCTGAGAAGATGCCCTTACCTATCCAATGTCGCTCATGAGAACTGGTGAAAAATGCCAAAAAATGACAGCCAGGGTTTAATAGGTGTTACATTTTTGCAACCTCCAATACACGGGACACTGTAGTCTTTTATTTATCTTTTGATTACACCGTAATTTCACTGAAAATGCACTCGCGGTGAGTGGAAGGGTTTGTTTTGATTATGGTTTCTTGTTTTCTGTTTGGTTGGTTTTAGTTTGTTTAGATTTTTCACCTATTACCTTTCTTTTGCTGTAGGTATGCTGTTTACCTATGCATTACTTTTTAGAAATCTCTCAGGCATAAGTTGTTAATCCAAAATGTGTTGTCTCTGGTCTCTTGTTTTTTTTTTTAAAGGCTGATTTGTATGTAAAGCCACATATAAATAAATAATACAATTTAAAAATGTTTTTTACATAAAGAATCGCAGAAGTAATTAAGCTCTGTTAAATGTGTGAATATTAAACGGACACTATAGTCACTATTTATTTATTTACTTATTGGTGTTCCTTCAAACCATGGATCTCAAACTCTGATTTCCCTGATGTCGATGGTCTACAACACACAGAATTCTTTGCCTACAAGAGATAACCAGAGGCGCTATATAAATTGGCGATAATAATAATGATACAACAAAAGCCATTGATGTGTTTTAGAATTGTCAGTATGTGTCGGCTCTTTTTATAAATGTCTTAAAACAGTTTATTGGCCAGCAGTAACATTTTATGAGCCACAGATCCCTCACTGCTGCCAAATATCGAATCTGGTTAGTGATCGATCAGCAGCTCAATTTGTGCATTAAGAAGTCAAAAGAGCTATTTGTTTCTCACATGCATCTATGGCTGGTCATTAAATGAACACTCTATGCACCAAGCTAGTTGTACCAATTGTGATGCAAGAAGTATTTGGATTTCTTGTTAATCTGTTTTCATCTTGCTAGCACTTCTGCTGAGGCTTCAGTAAAGCATAAGTATTACATTCGTTTTATGCGTCCAAAGATGTCCAACCTTTGACTCCAGTGATAGATTGTGATTGTAAGTTGTGCCACCCCAAACACCAGCAGCAACTTTTTCCTGACCAGACTTAGACAGGTGTGGATTTATAATGCCAAAGTGAAACTTCTACGTTATGTAAAGAATTGTACAGATACCCGAGGAGCTTAAAATGCTTGTATAAGTAACTGGGGATACGAAAACTTTATTCACCGTAACTAGTTGGATGCTAGTAGTTATGGTTATTCGAGTAACCTTGTGATCACCTACCAATATACCAAAATATCTCCACTATGTTCCCCCTATTTCAAGTTAAACAGCAAAACCATACTTTAATATATTTTAACTCACTTGGAAGTTTATGAAAAGTTGTGCACTGGTATTTTGTAATATCTGTTGATATGTGGAAATAAATATTTTTTATAGACTAAATTTCACAATTCCAGATCAGGAAACACTCCTTGTCCATTTTAGAATACTTGTCTCTAGAATGATCTTCTTGAAGCTGGAGTACAACATTAAAGGAACACTATAGGGTCAGGAAACACAAATATGGATTCCTGACGCTATAGTGTTAAAACCACTATCGGACTGCCCTCCCTCCCCCCATCCTAAATATACTAAAATCTTATTCCAGTCTGCTGGTGCTGGCTCTGCCCCTGATCTGCATGCTTGGATGACATAATCAGAAGTATTGCTCAATGCCAATCAAAATGCTTTCCCACAGGAAAGCATTGGATTGGCTGAGCTTGTCAAGGAGGCAGATCAGGGGCAGAGCCAGCCTAAGCCAATCCCATCTCTTGATAGAGATGCTTTGAATTAATGCATCTCTATGAGGAAAGTTCAGCATCTCCATGCTGAGTGTGGAGACTTTGAAAGTCAGCGCTGCACATTGTGCTGCACTGCCCTAGTAAGCAACTCTAGTAGCCATATGAGTGGCCGCCACTGGAGGTATCCCTAATTGTAATGTTTACAGCAAAAAGCCTGAAGGAACTGATTATACTCACCAGAACAAATTCAATAAGCTTTAGTTGTTCTGGTGACTATAGTGTCCCTTTCAATGGTTTCCCACTGCTTGATGTAAAATACCAGTTTTCAATGTTACAAATGCTCTAACTATAGAACTACTTTGCCTTTTAAAGGGACACTTCAAGCACCATAACAAAGTGTATTCATTGCATAGGTTCCTGCCATTGTTTCACTGCATATGGTATCTTGAGGTAAATTCCACTGCCCAAATACAAAATAAATAAAAATCACTGTTTAGTAGATATAACTTAAATGAAAACGTGTATGCTTTTTTTCACTGGGGTATATCTATAGACAGCTTGCAAAAACTGCAGTTCTCTTGTCTGCTGCCTTTGAAAATCCTCACCCTCTAACTCCACCCAGAATTTCTGTGGCTGTCAAGTTACAGACTTCCCAATGCATCTGAATGGGATGCCTTTGTAAGGCAGGTATCCCTCGGTGCTGGATCAGGTTCCTCCTGTGCCAACGTCACACCGATTTGGAAATCTAATGCGCATGCGCAGCAAGTGCAGTGAGCGCATTGAATCAATGTCTTCCTATGGGGGTTTTCAAGACCCTGGGCGTCCTCATGTGAAACACCAGGAAGTGGCTCTAGTGGCTTTTTGGTAGAGAGCCACTAGGGTAGGTGTTAAACCTGAAACTGCACTACGTATCATTGCAGGGTTAAGGGGACAGGGTGCCTATAGTGTCCCTTTAAGTTTTCAATATTTTTATGCTTCCTGTATGGCTTTTGATTTGTTTATTTTGTCTAGTCACGAGGAGAGACAGTTACCTGGTTGACAGCCAGCAACAAAGCAAGCAAAGCAAGAGTTATGATAGCGTGAGTGATCTTTGGCAGTATCATTGACACAGGCTTGTCTCCTTTGACGTCACACAAATTGCCAGTCTGCAATGGAACAATGTTTTTTTTCAAAATCAAGTTTAAAAAAAGAAAAGCTTTGTTGGTTTTGCCATACCTTGTCTTGAAACTGTAGAAGAAACTTTTTAATTTCTGTCCTTTGAAGTCATTGGTATGTCTGTCATTATAGGGATGGTTTGTTAAACTGGAACGGTTGAGTATTGGCAAGTGAATTGTAACACCATTCTCGGCTTAATGAATAACCTTGTATTTAAAGAAGTATCCTTCCTTCTACTGTGGAGGCAGAGGTGGCACATCCCAGGGCCTTTTATTGCTCCGAACCTGGGAGCCAAGGAGTGCGTTATTTGTTAGTCATCTGAAATTCTCTTGTGAGACTTTAGGATAGATTTTGGACATTATGAATAAAAGTTGGTGGTATTGCTTTTTGAAATATTACATTCCCCCCCCCCCACACCATTTTCTTATATATATAAAATGAAACCACTATTCATTGTACATTATGCCTCTCATAAAAAGGTGCCACAATGTCCTTGGTGGAAAACTTGTGTAGGCAATGAACAGCATTGTTTTGATATTCCCACGCCACTTTATGGATAACCACAAAATGTTCTACTGGTGACCAAGTCAACTTTTCAATCAGTCATGAAACCGTATGACTTTATATAACATGACCTGTTAGCTGAGGAGGTTGCTATATTGTTGCTGGACCGGCTGTGTCAGTGCGTAGCTAGTGATATATTTAGAGTCTCCTGCAGGCATATTTAAGCAGTTAGTTCAGCCATGGACAGGAAAAGTCTCTGGGTGTGTCTTGCATAACTCAAACAGTTTGCATGATAACAAAACTCACTTTTCTTTTCGTTTTTTTGTTTTATACCTGATCAGAGTTCACTTTCGCTGATCAACAAGAGCAGCTGAAATCTGTTATAGTGAAAGAATTGTATATTTTAAAGAATAATCTTAGACTTGCACTCCCCCCCCCACCCCCCCCGAATCTGTATTTTATTGATTTGTATAACATACGGAGGATACCGTGTGTTAAGTGCAGATGGAGTCATGTTAAGTTGCCATAAAATACATAACCAATGGAGTGAAAATAAAGGAAGAGAACTAAAACAAAACTTAATGGAATGTATTCACATACATTGTGCGGATGGTTCTATTTTCAGTAGCACTAATAAGATATCTCCCCGTAGTGACTCAGCTTGGACTTTCTAGTTTGCCTGTCAAGTGCTGTACCCCTGTTTAGATTCACTCTGTTCCAGACGGCCGCCAAATACGTTACATTTTTTGTCTTTGGGAAATATTGTCAAGGCACATTTGTTCATATATATAATTAAGTTTTATACTTTCTAATAGGTTTGGGAAGGATGGGGGCATAGGTTTTTTAATATGTGGTGCTATGAGGTGGCGTGCTGCCAACAAGATGAGTCTCTCGAAGCCCCATCAGTGGGTGGGTCTCTCAGACATTAACAGTAAATATTGTCTGGTGTTATCAGAACCCTAGCGTGAACGTATGAACCCAGACTCGTCGTTAATTATTAGGGACAGCCTTTTTGCAAGTATCTTGGCATATAATTTAGTATCACTGATAAGCAGTGAAATTGGACTGAAATTCAAACATTGGGTGTGAGTTTTACCCAGCTTGGGCAGTATGGCTATATGGGCTTTAAGCATCTCAGGAGGTAGAGCACCCAAGGCAAAGCCTAGTTTGAGATAGTTAGTAACCTGTGGTGCTAGCTCCCCGCCAAAGGTCTGATAGCATAGATTCGTTAGCCCATCTGGATATGAGGATTTGTGGGCCGACATACTATTTATTCAATTAGTGACCTCTACAGTAGTAAAGGGCATGGATAGATGCTCCACTTCATCTGCAGGTATATTAGGTAGAGGCAACAAATCTAAAAAAAGATTGGATATCTTGGAAAGTGGGGGTTGTGAATGGTGGTATAGTCTTTAAGATTGTAAAGTTTGATATATTTGCTGCAAATTCATTCGCTATTTCATGTGGGGCAAGAAAAATGTGTTAGCTGAAGGTTGCAAGAAACATAGAGGCAAGGATGGCACCTAAATAGAGGAATGGAAAAACAAAATCTCAGTCACCTCCTCCTTGGAGGAGGTAAGTGGGAAAGAGTACAGTCTAACGGACTAGTGGCCAAAAAAAAGAGAAAACCCAACATTTATTAATATCCATAGGATTGAGCCACTAAATCCACAAAGAGACCCTTGTAAGGGTATACAAAGTGTCTGAGAGCCAGGTAAATAGTTATTGTCTAGTGGACAGACAATTCCAGGAATCTACTAAGGTGAAGCCCACTCCTATCGATAGAATTAGATAGGAGATCTAAAGTCAAAGGTTTACCATGGGTCACCACAACAGAGGGATTCTAAAGAATTCCATCCTCCTGTTTTCCTTAAATTATTTTTTCTAGAAGGATGACACCTACCCTATTCCTTTGTGCAAAATACTTGTGCTTGAAACTAGTTAATAAGAAAGGTTAACTGCATTATTTCCTTTAGTAGTGTGAGGTATTTTTGCTATCTCTAACTTTTGGAGTAACTTGCATGCCTGACGATAAGCCCCCTTACGGAGGGTTTATGAGCCAGCCATTGTTATGTGAAAAATCCGGGATAGAATTGGTAAAGAAATAGTGCCTGCCCGCAAATATCTATCACTATATTAAAGATCCGCCATGTCCCTGTCCCTTTACCAGCAAAGGCTTATGATGGCAATAACCGTATTGGAGCATGGTCAAACCAAGGGTTATGGTGATCAAACTTGTGAGAGTTGAGCTATGTATAATGAATCTGTCTATTCTAGAGTAAGTGTTGTATACAGCTGAGTGGTAAGTTTAATCTACTTCTGTTCGAAAAAGCTCACCACGGGTCTACAAAAGTTTGTTTACAAATAATGGACATTTGATTGGCGATTTTGCCTCTAGTAGACGTTGTCTTGTGGCCCACTAAGTGTGAGGATGAGGAATCCATTTTGTGATGAAGCAAAAAATTTGTGTCACCTCCACAAATTACTTCCTTGAACTTAAACCTCTCTACAAATGCAAAGACGTGTGACAAATTGAGACTGGTTATTGTGTAGTCCGAAGACTTGAAGTAGGGTTTAAGGCATGTTCTTAATGTAGCACTGGAGAAGTAGATGGCAACTTTCCTTATCACCTATTTTGTGCACCAATGAGAATGTGACTTGCTTGCTAACAAAGATATGGATACCCCCTTTCTTTTTGATTTAAAGCAAGAGTGGAAATCTGTGGGATATGATGAGGGATTTAATCGGGGCGAACCCCTATTTACAGTGAGTCGATTGAGATATATATATATATATGTATGTATATGTGTGTGTGTGTGTGTGTGTGTGTATATATATATATATATATATATATATATATATATATATATATATATGTGTGTATATATATTTAAAAAAAGGGGGGGGTTTAGACGCTTTGCATTCTTGTCTCATCTCCCCACTTTAACCTTTGGATTGTAAGCTCACGGGTAGGGTCCTCTACCTGTTGTATCGGTCTGTTCTTATTGTGTTTGTCTTTTTCCCCATTGTACAGCGCTGCAGAATTTGTTGGCGCTTTATAAATGCCAGTAATAAATAAATAGGCTGAGGCTTACCTTGGTCCAGGGAGTGGGGGAATCCTGGTGGCCTGGTGGGAGATGTTTCTGTCCAGTCGAATGTGCAGATGCTCTTTCTGTCCAGACGAATGTATCAGAGCGTTGCTGCGATAACTCTGCAACTGATGCAATAGAAATATCAGGGCTGGTGAGAGAGATTGAATATAGCCTTTAACTCCGACCGACAAGATCTCCCTGTTGGGTTGGCCTCGCTGAGGAGAATGGACTGGCTGCTGAGGAAGCTCTTTGAATTCTCCATCACCCATGCTGCCCTGAGGCCGTGGCCTTATGGCAAATCCGGCCCTACTTGTACCTCGATTTTAATATTTTTAGATAAACTTTCAAAATGCTTTAATATTATAAGCTTATCAAGCAATATTAAATATATGCCATATTGGTGCTGTTGACCACATCTCCTCCATGAATAGTTAGCTAAATTATTTTTTTCCTTGACTCTGCTGTTTTGGCTTAACCATTTCAAATCTGTTCACAACTTGCTTAGTGAATTGACCCTGTTATGCCACAGATTTTAATCTTTTATTTTAAAGATGATTATTTTTTATTTTTTGGCGTCTGTTTATGGTTATTGGAGACTCAATCTTTGAGCTGGTGTTTAGTGTTCCCAATCCCCATGTGCCAACGGTGTCATTAATAAATCTCCTGTAAATATCATTGGAGTTGACGTTAGCATTGAGAATCTGGTAGTTTGTCGGGTACTGTAGAGATTAAAAAAAAAATAAAAAAAAAATTCACATATGCCTGTTACTTTTTATTAATGAGAAGGTCACTGGGTTTACTGATCACCTTTTCTTTTTCCAGGTCCAGCAACAGGTACATCCCAACCAGTCTGCAAAAGAGGACTCCTTGTACTATATAGAGGAACTTATTCTCCAGCTTGTGAATAAACTATGCATTGCTCAGCCAAGGACTGTTCAGGATGTGGAGGTAAGGGGATCAGACTCTACCAGCATTTGCCAGTTACAAACATGCATGTTAGATTTTTCTCCTAACTCCCGTTCTCCTGATTCTTTGTTACTGATTGTGCAGCACTGGCATTCAGTGTCCCTCTGAATGTTCCTCATAGAGATGCATTTATTGTATAAGGAAATGCTGATTGGCGCAGCGTGGTGTCTAGCAGCGCATGCGCTGTAGTCTCCAAATGCTTTCCTATGGAAAAGCACTGGGTTGGCTGATATCATCAAGATTGTTGATCTCAGCCATGGAGGCAGAGCCAGCCACAGTGGGACAAAAGGTTAATAATATCAACTTTTTACTGCGATTGGAGGGGGGCCGGTACCCTAAACAGACACTTTAAGAAAACAGTGTCATACCGGTTTGCATGCCTGACATTATAGTGTTCCTTTAAAAGAAATCCAATGTTGAATAAAGGAAACAAAATGAAAGATATCTGCTAATTAAATTGCAGATTACTCTGTAATTGTGTTGGGGTTTTAGACTTTAAGACAAGCCTTTAGCTCCACCACTTAGGAACATGTGCACGTTAACAGTTAGGAGAATAAGAAAAAAAATTAATGGGAATAGCTTTCAACTATACATTTGCAAGTTATTTTACCTGCACAATATGAAGGTAATACATAATCGTGTAGTACAAGATTTAAATGTTGTTCACAATTACAACAGGGAACTAATAGATTATTAACTTCTCTTTTGAGTAACACCTTTTCACGTCCTTGCATATATGTGGAAGAGAGAGGAACTTACTTGTGATCTCCCTCCACCCTTATCCTGTCTGCTTGCCTGTGAGGGTGGTCTTCCGATGTTTAATTGAACTATGGCCTGCTTATTGTTTTAATGCCACTCCATGAGCGGCCATATCTATCTCGCAGCCACTGTTACAATAATCTTCAGATTACGAAAAGCCCAGAAATAAGCAAAGTGGATCCATTTGACAGTCACCAGGGCTGAAATTCCACAAAACGATGGCTAGTGGACAAGTAGGAAATTTTGAGCTCTGATATTTTTAAATTAACAATAGACTACAATTTTAAACCTGTTTCTGTTTGTGGTGTTAAAATGTTATTTCTTAAAGCCAGTATTTGCTCTGATACCAACAGGTTACAGGTTTTCTGTTTCATCTCTACAATAAGCCTACTGAACATCAAATCCCATCTGCTGGCTGTGGGCCTCTTCTGTAATAAACACAAAGTTAGACATCTAATTATTATGTATAAAATGCCAACATATCCGCAGTGTGGAATGAGAGTTTTCCAAGTTACTGCTTGGAAACTATATGGTACACACTCAGGTATACTGAGATTGAGGAAAATTTAGATTGAGAAATTTGAGTCTTGAGAAGGGACTGTCCAGCTATACATTGGCTAATCTTTACACCAGAGAGTACAATTTTTAGGAGCCTTTTCTGGTATTCCGACCCCAAGAGACACATCCTTTATATTGGATGATCTGTAATTTGAATTAATTTTTATTCACATAGGAAAGAGTTCAGAAAACGTTTCCCCATCCAATTGATAAATGGGCTATTGCTGACGCTCAGGCTGCTATTGAAAAGCGGAAGCGAAGGAATCCCCTGCTTCTGCCTGTCGATAAAATACATCCCCTATTAAAGGTAATACGGTTATCTTGTTTTTTTATGTTTATTTGAATGCCTTTAATAGATTAACTGATGTTTTTGGATGTTAAAAGGTGTTGTGTATACCCTTTTGGGTGCATGGGCACGCAGCTAAGAGAGTGATTTCTGTCATTTGCATCAGCATGGCTAGCAAAATGCCTGCAAGTCCTAAAACTGTATTTGAAAGATATGTTTTTGAGCAGAATGTAAAATAGGGACAAAATCTATATAATTGGAAGAGTAAATTGCAACTGTCTGACAGTCAGCAGAGATGGGCAAGGGGGGGGTGGGAGTATTTTATTGACTGCAAGGACAGGAAGTTGAAGCAGATGTGGAACGAAGACTGGCTCTTGCTATACTGGATCAGACAGTAAATAAATAAATACCCACACGAACACTGCCATTTGTCATTTTATTGGGGCTCTGTAATAGTGTGTTCCATGCTGAGTACAATTGTATGTTTTTTAAATTCCTGGCACTCCTGAATCTTGTAACCAGTACTAATAAGTGTGGTGTATTCCTAACTTGCTTTTTTATTCTTTTTAGGAAGTGCTTGGCTATAAGGTAGATTACAATGTGTCACTTTATATGGTGGCTGTGCTGGAATACATCTCTGCTGACATTTTGAAGCTTGCTGGAAACTACGTATCCAACATACGGCACTTTGAAATCTCTCAGCAGGATATTAAAGTGTCCATGTGTGCAGATAAGGTAAGAACACTGAGCATTGGAGAAGATGGATAAAAATGTATTGTTATAAAAAAGTATAGCAACTGGAATAAGAGTAGTGTCTGCGTGAAATGATTACTGTGTACCAGTAGTCAAAACGTGACCTAATTATTGTATCTTCCCAATATTATATTTACCCTATAGTTAACAAATATGTGTTTGTGCGATCTGAAAATAAAAATTAAATGCAGAAATTCACACTGCTGTGTAATGGAACTGTGTGCCTCTATCTTGGCTCCCTTCTAGTTATTGTTTGAAGCCGTGCAGTTTTCTGTCATTGAAAATAATGAGAGAAACCGAAGCAATGAAGGCCCTGTCTGTGCCATGACTTAACAGGATTGTTGTGGCACGTAAATTGTTTATAATTTTATATCTCCCCAACAGGTGTTAATGAACATGTTTGATCAGGATGATGACATAGGCCTTGTCGCCCTTTGTGACGAGGAACCTGCCACAACTGGGGAGTTGAATTACTACGAGCTTGTTCGGACTGAGCTTGCTGGAGAGCGTCAGTACCTGCGTGAACTAAATCTCATCATCAAAGTATTTCGGGAAGCCTTCCTTTCAAACGAAAAGCTCTTCACACCTTTAGTGAGTTTCTTATTAGATCACATGTCCGGAATCGCTAACTAATATTTATTTTTTATTTTTTTATCATTAACGGTCACCCAAGATTTAGATATTGTGATCTTATTTCAAGGCAGCCACCTTCATGCTGAAAATCATCCATGTATGCAAGCGGTAATTACAACTACACAGTTATGGCCTGGGTAGATGACTATATTGCTGTGTTTTGGAAATTGTTGTGAATTCTATGCAGTGGTAACTTGTACTGATTTCTAGGCACATGACCTATCTAGGGACATATTGATCAACAAGGTCACTAACCAGGGCAAATACTTGTATTCTAGTTCTGCATGACGAGAAAATAAGTCAAATGTGTTGGAATGTATGAAATAGCTGGAAATAAACAAGCCCTGTGCATGTACATCATGTATGCGTGTGCTGTAGAGCTCTATTGCAGTGAACTTTGTGATGAGTTGCTAAGAACACACCATAATGTTTGGCATTTATAACATTTGCTGTGTTGTATTTAACTGCTTTCAGAGAAGCTCCTGGCAGTACAGTGTCTGTAAGTTAAGAAGGCTGAGTCGCACATTGTGAGCAGCCATACAAGTACGTGGATAGGTGGATATGAATCCATGCTTTTCCAAAATTATATAAGATGGTAGCTTGATAAATTCATGAGATTTCAGTCAGTAGAAATGTTTCTAAGTAAGTGATTGTCAAGTTTCTATTTTCAAATCAATATTGCAGTTTGGTTCTCAGGTACGCATACATTTGATAATACCTGTACTGTTTTTCTAGGATACAGATACCATATTCAGTAATATTTTGGACATCCATGAATTGACTGTAAAGCTTCTGGGTTTGATCGAGGACACAGTGGAAATGACAGATGAGAGTAACCCACACCCACTGGTTGGAAGTTGCTTTGAAGATTTAGCTGAGGTAGGCTCTTTTGCTACAAATTTTTTAGCCTTGGTAAGAGACTTTCTACCCTCAGACTAACTTCCTCTCTAAAAATTTATTTTGGGGGCTAGAGTCCCTGGGTGTCATCAGGCCTTAAAAGGATACACTAAGCACCAAAACAACTTTAGCTTAATTAAGCAGTTTTGGTGTATAGATCATGCACATGCAGCCTGACTGCCCAATTCCATGTCATTTAGGTGTTAAATCACTTTTGTTTCTGTTTATGCAGACCTAGCCAGACATCCCCTGGCTTTAAAACACAGCCTACATGAAAAAATAGTTTAATTTTCAATCTGATGTGACATCACACTGTGTTTGCTTTAGAAGTTTTTACCTCCTGCTCTGTTAATTGAACTTTAATCACACACAAAAGGATCCTGCAGGCTGTTTGGACATTAGTCTATCTTTACAGAGAATGTGTGGGGAGACTCTAGGTCACACCCAGGGAGGTGTGACTAGGGTTGCATAAGCAAAGCGATTTAACTCCTAAATGGCAGAGAATTGAGCGGTGAGATTGCAGGTACATGATCTGTACACAAAACCCACTCTATTAAGATAAAATTGTTTTGGTGCTTATTGTGTCCTTTTAAGATGTTAAACTGCACTTGTCTGTGCTGCCTTCTTCGTATTCTCAACTGCCCTAAAGGAGCAGGAATGGAAGCAGTGAACTCTTGGCCCCAAAACAACTTATGATAGCAGTTTTACAATGGCAGGAAAGATTACCTTTCACACAATAACTTACACTGGGAATAGTACTTCACCCCAGTAACCACTGTCCCAAAAAAGATTTTACATCAGATTCCATATTTCCAGATTTGTAAAGTTGCCGTGTGTTACAATCATAAATATAGGTGCAACAAAACCTCTACCACCCTTCTTAATTATACAATAATAGAGGGTTAGTGATATTTTGAAAGTATGTAATAATAATAGAATATATAATTGGTGAAGCTTTGATTACTGTTAATAAGATGTTTAAGAGACCCCCTCTGAGCTCACCTTGGCCTGTACAATTCTCAGGAACAGGCCTTTGACCCGTATGAAACTTTGTCGCAAGATATCCTCGCTACCCAATTTCAGGAACATTTTAATAACCTGATGGCCAAGCCTGCTGTATCCACATATTTTCAGGTGAGCATTTTCTTGCTTTTATTATTAATAGTTGTTTAATAGCAATATAGAACGGTAAGCTAGAATAACCTTCCATAACATTAAGCCCTATAATATTATTACACAATACAAAATAATCAAGCATTAAAGTGTTGAATAAAAAAAACTGTTGCAAAATTGATCAATGAATTTGTTACAGAAACATAGAAAGTCATCTATAATATACATCTAATGAACTCTCCTATAACATCTATAACAGTAAGCCATATAATGCAAACACGTGATGCAATACAATATATAAAGCTGTACAAATAAAACCTAGACAACAGGAAACTGTATGTATGTATGTATATATATATAACCAAAGGCCATGAGATGACAATATAGAGCAATTATATAAAACTAAAAGCTGTGGAAGGACTGATATGTATGAATAAAAAGTCTTTAATTTACAATGTAAGAGAAAGAGTTGTATGTTGAATATAACCTATCGAACAACACTAAACATTAGTTGAATAATAAAAAAAAATATATATATTCAACTATATTTGCTCCAACACATCAGTATAGCAATAAGTATTCTAAAATAAATTGACATCGTGTATCTTATTGATAAATAATGTAGCACAATACAGTTTGTATGTATCTACGGCACCCCGTACATAGACATCCGTGATGGAAAAGAAGGAGAAACGCCTTTCCTCCTATTTGAGTCATTTTGTAATAAAGTGTGACTGTCCGAAGTGCACATTATGCTTTGCTGAAACATTTTTACTATAAGAGCATCATTAACACACTGCTAATCAGATTAACCCGTGACCCACACAGAGAAATGAACAAGCATGCGGCGAAAACCTGAATGGATACGGGTTGTGCCTTTCTCTTTAAATGCTTGTAACATACATTAAAATTGGTGTAGACCCCATTAGATATTTTTTTTTTTTTAATTCTTTATTTTAGTCGTGCAAAGAGTGAATATATTAAGCTTGCAGCGCCACAACAGCGGGCAAACAATGCAGTTTCATACATGTGGTAACAGTAACATGGCGTTGAAAGTGCGTGCACAAGTTTTATGTTTTATGTGTGCTTCATGCTGTACAGTTAAGTTAAGTTAGATAACAAATGGTGTGTCGTCGTTCTGAACACAATACTAGACAGGAATATAAGTAGAATAAGGTAAGGAGTCTCACTGCATATGCCATGCGTGTCTAAGTGAGTATGTCATCAGAGTAAGTGAGACCTTCAACGTTTAATTATGCTTAATTTACTAAGCTAGTGTACAATTTGTGTAGGCATTATAATCAGGCTTATTGAATTATGTATGGGATTGACAACATGCCGTATATACCTCAATGAGCTACATTAACTAACATTGAAATGTGATGCAGTCATATGCTTAAACACTATGCTCAAGTTAGGTCTCTGAGCCTAGGCTAGCAGGTGATTCAAATGTCCCAGGAGGCTCCCTCTCAGATCAAGTCCTTGAAGCAGGGAGGCTACTATGACAAAACTATAAAGCAAAATTAAGATTTGGGTCATCCTTATGCGTTGTGTGTTTCAGAGGGGCACATACATTTAAGAGGAAGTCCCAGCACCCCTGGCTCCTGGTCTGTTTTCAGCCGACTCCCGTCATGGGTATCTCGCTGTTGGGCAGCTTAGTGAAGTATTTCAAGCCTCCAGGCTCCGGTCTCGTCTTGTGGGGCCGGACGGTCCCCCGGATGTTGACTGCCAGGAGAACAGGAGACCCTCGACGAGGTGCAAATGTATGTCTCACGCGTGACTGACTTTGGTTGTGCTGCTGCTTATTGCGGGGTGATGTTTGGGGCTTGGTCCGCCTTCTCTATGGGATCCTCTTCCCTGTAGGGGCCCCAGGTGTTTTCCTCGTTCGTGACATGCGTCGTTTAGGTGAGGGGCCGCTTGCCTGTGGTGGGGCTTGTTGCAGTGCCCATCTCTCCAGCTTATGCCAGAATGCCGCCAGGATAGCCTCTAGCTTCATTTGGAGCATGGTCTCTGCATTGTGAGCGTGGGTGCGAGGGAGGCACGAGGTGTCCGCCATTAGGAATGAGTCGGTAGTAATGTTATTCGCTTGCCTGCCGGACTTCACCTTCACCTCTCCCCTACTGGGTGTAGCTCTCCTGGGTTGGACCGTGTTCTCCCCCAACAGTCCCGAGGGGGGGGGGGGTAACGGGATGCCTGCCCCGCCATTGCAGTCGCTGGGTAGCCCCGGAATGGGAGAGCGGCCGCCTCCCCCGCCCGGTGCACACAAGGCCGCATGCTGTTGCAAGTATGGCTGCTCAGTTTTCATTGGGTCACCGACCCCTACTACCTTGCCCTGCAGTGTCAGGCTTCGGTGTGGGCTCAAGGTGGTCCTGAAATTAGTCTGAATGAGGCCGTGTTTTGCCTTCGATGCCAGGATTGTGGAGGAGCTCCTGTGAAACACGTCTGTCCTCCATGACAGTTAGGCCCGCCCCCCATTAGATATTTAACCCCTTGAAGGCAATTGTCCATGTTCTTCAGTTTGATCTATAGCTTTGTTCCACCTTAATTTCAAGGGTGTCCCGTCAAGTTCCCCTATACATATTACATATGTATTTTTTAAAGGACAGAAAGCGCTTTCATTTAACATCCTATATGTATACTTAAGACAACATTATGTGTGGGTATTTTTTTTTTTTTTCTAAGTGGGAAAAGTATTTTAAAAAAAAATAAAAAATTTTTTTTTACATTTTTGCTTATAATTATTTTCACACATCCAGTGCAAGTAATTAAAAAGAACTCAAATTAGATTCATATACAAGTCCTGATTGCTAAATATAGGTCTACGATCTAAAGTGATTTTTGATGGTTAACGCTAACCGTATACCAACCCCCACACTAACGCAATACCAATTTTACCACTTATCCAATGCTTACACTAAGTCTAATTGTATGCCTACCCTAATCTTACCCTTAACCCTGCTCTTTTACCCTAAAACAGCATTGACCCACACCCAGCATTACCCTTACCTTTCCTGACCTGAATCCTACACTAACCATAACTCTAAAGCTAACCCTACCCTAATCTTCCTCTAAATCTAACCCTACCATAACCCTATCCCTACCCCCAAGTCCAACCTTAACCCTAAGGTGACCCACTAGAATATAAATTCTATTAGAAATGGGTTTTACTGTATGTTACCACCATCTACTGTCTGTTTTCAGAATTACACTTAGTGTAATTCTGAATGAGCCTGGATCCTAGCCAATTATATAGAGAAAGATGCTTGGAAGCTGGTTAAGAACAGCACTGGCCTATTGTGGCTAGGGACAGGCTCATTTAGAATTACATGAGCTTGTCCTTGGAGGGTCTCCCCACAAATGGAGTTAAAGAGCTCTCTGCAGTGCTGATTTCCATCGCTGCACAGAGCTCATTGATCAGTCTGGGTCCACTAAAAATTGACCCAGCTAACTTACAGGAGCCCAGGTATCCATTAGTACCTGGAATTACTGGTGTTAACAGGGATTTAACCCTGCACACACCCTAATCTCTAAGTAGGCATTTACATGCTTATTTAATTTTACTATCCATTGATACCTGGCATTAGTGGTGTGAGCATTGATTTAACTGTGCTCACATCGTGATCTTTTAATGGGCATTTAAATGCCTATTTCAAGAGCTGTTTGCACCGCTGGCTTCCAGAGCTGCAAACTGCTCATACCACTAAAAAAGTCCCCAGCAAACCGATTCCTGGGGTTCTCTGATGTTATCAGGGATTTAATCCTGCACAGTAGGTCTGGGTCTTGTGATTCTCACAATGTAAAGCTATTCGCTGTAGGATTTATAGTTTTTAAAATACAACCGTTTGAAGATGGCAACCGCCAAAATACTTTGACCTGTGCCAGGCTGCAGCAGCAAGTGATGTCATAGACAGGGCCTTTTGAACACCTGCTAATGTTTTTATAAATGTATGGTTTAATGTAACTGTGCAACAACGTTGCTATTAAATGTGCTATATAAATAAATAAGTTACTCCGCCCACTCCAGTTGTAGACTACTGGTGGGGGCAAGAACACTTCACACAATTTCCCCAGAAATTGTAGCTTTTCTAGTTGATAATTGTTACTTTTTAAACAGAAGGTTATGAATCCTGTCAATCTGAGTAGTGTTGCACCACAGCAAAATCTCCCTGTTTTCTACCACTTACAAGGTTATTTACGAAGGTGTGAATTAAAAATTAAAGTCCATTTCAAATGTAAGGCCAAAATCACTGAGCTGAAAAGTCTATCCAAGTTAGCCATATTTTTGGTTTCACAATTTTGGCCTTATATTTTAAAATCACTTTGAATTTAATGCAAGTTCTCAAAAGGACACTATAGGCATGTGTAGACTGTGGAATTCTGTGGCTCTATTCCTCCATTCAGTGTTAAAGGGAAACTATACAAAGTTGTATACCTAACTCTATAGTAGCCTTTGTCATTGCGGCCCCCCAGCCCTCCGACAGCCGATAAAAGGGGGACTTAATGTGAGGTGAGCGCCACGATTGCATTAGGACTTACCTATAGAAAAGCATTGAATCAAACCCCATGGGGTTTTAGCTAATGCCGAGTGTCCTCATGCAAAGCGTAAGTACGTCCAATGTAATTTAACGGACCAAAAGTCTGCTAAGGACCCGGAAGGTAGGCAGCCACTAGAGGTGGAGTTAACTCTGCAAGGTAATTACAATTGGAGGGTTAGGGGGACAAGGGCACTGCACCCGGACCACTTCAGTGAGATGAAGTGGTTTGGGTACCTATAGTGTCCCTTTAAATTATTTTCAAGCAACTTAACTATTACAGGAACACTCCGGTAACGATAACTTCTTTATTGAAATTAGGTTGTTATGGTGTCAGGAGATCCCTGGCGCCATTCTTCAATGGTTTATCCCAAGGTTTGTGTTCCAACACCGACTCTCCCTGCCTATCTTCCTTTCCATCTACTCAAAATCTTTAAACTTTAAAGTGACTCCCCATTCATAAAACTTGAAAGATACATACCTTTTTCAAGCCAGTTTTATGAATGGGAAGTCACTAATTGGCATCAGCTGACCTCTCTAAGCCAATCAGCGGCGCTGCTGTCTGATTCTGCAAGAGCCTTCCAGTCTAAAGATTGTGAGAAAACAGAAGGACAGAGAGGCAGCGAGATTGACGCTAAAACAGAGACTTGGTGTTAAACTGTTTTCCGAATGATTGATTTAACCTGTTAAGGTGAGCCAGCACCAGGGACCTCCTGGCACAATAACTTCATTTGAATCATCCTTTAATGAGGGTCCGTGCCACACACTGCCAGGCCCACACTAGAAGTATGGCTAAAACAGAGATTGCACTATTCCTTAGCCATACCAATTCATATCAGCAATGAGTGGTCATGATGGGCTGTAAGCAGTCAGCAGACACTCTCAGCCAACCACCACCACCCATGCTTTCTCATTTGCTTAAGCAATACAGAGGGGACGACGGGCTGCTGGGGAGTCTTGTTTAACAGTATCCTGAACGATGGCATCAGGGTACTCCAGATGCTATAAATTCTTCAATGTTATTAAGTGCTCACAGTGCCTACAGATTCCCTTTAATAGATCACTCTTTAGTGAATCAGCTTGCTAGTAAATAAACCTCTCTGATCAATCCATAATCGCCAACAAATTTTCCAACCTTGAACAAGCTGATTTACTTTATAGCAGTTAAGGAGTAATGTACCAGCCTGCATTACAAATCGGAGACTTGGCTGGGGATTAGCTTATTCACCGGGTCTCATTCAGGATTAACTGACATTGAGCAGTTGGCTACAGTCTCTGAAGCTCCATTTTCAGACTTGAACCAGCTTGCCTGAATCCGGAATAGTGTGTTAACTAATTGTGTGCCAAAATGGAAGCGTCAATCTATTTACCCCTCCTCGACAATAGGGTGCACACCCCTCCAGGATTTGATGAGTTAAAGGAACAGTTGTCATGTCAGCAGAAAGGCATTGATTTACTGTTTTCTTAGAGCAGATATTAACGTGATGGCTGTGAGTGGCTCTTACTCAGGGGTAATGCCGGGAAAAGCGATCTTTTTCTTTCTTTTCCGTCTGTGAGTAATTATGAAGCCTCTCCAGTCTTGGTTTTTCTATGATCATTTGTTTTGGAGGGGGGCATCTTTAACTCTATCATTACCAAAAAATAAAAAGCAAACTTTACACCTATAACAATATAAAAAAATTTTCGTAAATCTTTTTAGTAAAGTGTTTTAATTTTTTTTTTCAAATGCAGAGGGATGATCACAACATTCCTTTTTACTCCTTTCCCTCTGGCATCAAAGAGTAAGATTACATGTAATCTAACTATAACGCAATATTTTTTCTGTCACATCGTAAACTCGTTTGGGCAGGGCCCTCTTCATCTGCTGTTCCTGTATGTCAAACTTCTTTTATTAGAAATGTGCATCTTGTTTTACTTATTGTACAGCAGTGCGGAATATGTCGGCGCTATAGAAGTAATTGTAATCCTAAAAATCTGTGTTCCCTAAGAATGTTTAGCCCCAGTGTGTGGCATCGAGAGATTGGGAGGGAATTCTGGTAATTTGTTAAACGATAAAAAAAAACATAATTATAGGATATTTAATAATTGTCTGATGGCTGCTGTGTAATGCATCTTATTCAGTGGTGTATTTTGGATTTGTGCTGCCCTAGGCACGACTAAATTCGGCACCCCCAAAATCTAAATTTGACCCCCCCCCCCAATTTGTGTCAAGGCCACTTTTTTGACTGACACACATGCACTGATATACACTCATTGACAGATAATACACAGTCATTGGCACACACTGTTTAACCAACACGCACTTTCACTGACAGACACACAATGACATACACACACTGACACACACTCACAGGCACACCCATTCTCACTGAAAGACACACAAACTGACAGCTACACTCACTCACAGTAAGGTGGACGACCCCAGAACACAAAGCAAGCAAGGCATTTGTCTGGGAGCTTGGGGTGGCATTTTTTGGCGCCCCCCTTGAAAGTGCCGCCCTAGGCAAATGCCTTGTTTGCCTTGTGGTAAATACATCCCTGATCTTATTATGTACCAATGGTTTTATTAATAGCCATTGGCCAATGTTTTAACCCATTCAATGCAAGGAGCTTGGCAAATTTCATTCGCATAACACATTGTTTATAGTTGGTCAGTAATGAGTATATTGTGCAAAATGCATAACTACAATAAAATTATTTGAGCAAAAATGTAACCCATTTGAGGATCTTATAACCCATGAGGGTCTAGTTTAAAATGTAGGCTCTGTTTTGAACCCTTATTCATTGATCCAGAAATTGTGGAGAATTTACAAGTAAATTACACATTTTAGGCTAATTTGTTTTGAAAACGTAACCACTTCTGTAATTTTTTTGCCTAAAATTGGCGATTAATTTGAATTTTCTACAGTTCACGGTGTAGAGAATACACACCTTGACCTTGATCCTTTGTGATATGTCTATACAATTTGGAACCGTGTATTATGGGAAAATAATGCCACAGAAGGGTTCTGTAGGCATCTCTAAACCACAAGACAGAAATATCTTTAGATAACCACAAGGTTATTTTCCTCTAATGCAAGCTTTGCAGTTTTTTTATCATTGGGATCGTGTAAATGCATTGTTGGTGTCAGTATGTAATGTTCGTGTAATGTAGGGGTTAATGGTTAGAGTTAATGTACAGATAAATTATTTAGAGTAGTGTATGTAGAATATGTATGTTAGTATAGTTAGTTCTGCTGCCACCATGTAATAGAGAGTGAGAGTGTGTAATGGAGAGAGAGAGAGAGAGTGTGTGTGTGTGTGTGTGTAATGGAGAGTGTGTGTGTGTGTTTTTTTTTATTTTTTAGTATCAGCATATTCTGTTGAGCTGTAAGAGATAGGAAAAATAAAGCAGGAGACCTATTGTAAGTATTTCTAATATATGTAATCTCTTAAGATATACTGGCCATAAGAGGATGTGATCCAATACATTTTGTTTTTTGCTTCCCTCAGTCCATTTCCGAAGGGTTTAAGGAAGCCGTGCGCTATGTTCTTCCACGCCTAATGCTGGTCCCTGTTTACCATTGCCTGCATTACTTTGAATTATTAGAGGTAAGGGCTGTCCTGATGTAATGATTAGTAATACACAGCAGTTAAAAAAGTAGATTTGTAGCACACTTTTTTAGATGCTCAATTGTAATTTGTGTTGTTGATTGAAGATGTTGGTAGTTGCAGTTGAACAAGAGTGCCACAATGCTCCTATAATCCAAGTTAAAGGTCCAGGTCACTAACGGTACTAGAAATGGAAATCTCTGTATCATGCAATACATAAAGTTGTCTGCCTTGTGATGCCTGGAATCACATACATGTGTGTGTATGTATGTATATATATATGTATGTATTTGTAATCCACTGGAAGTGGTAAAATGTTAAAACCATGTTTGTTCTGATCAGTACTCTTTATTGTATCTTTTTGTTTGGCATAATTAGCAGTTACAGGAGTGTAGTCAAGACCAGGAGGACAGAGAGTGTTTGAAACAAGCCATCACTGCCCTCCTAAATTTACGATGCAGCATGGAACGTATTTACAATAAACACTCACCGCGTCGCAGACCTGGGTAAGTGTTCTAACACAGTATACTTTCAGTGTATGAGTTATGTAAGGTTGGGGAAAAAATGAATCGAGGGCAAAGCCTAAAAACATACTTGCAAAGTCATATAGTCTAAAAAAGGTTCAGCCTTTTGCATATCTGATTTACTGCTGTTGAACCAGGAAAAAACAAAAAACAAAAGCATATTTGATGAGATTTCTAGTTTTTCAATGAATTCGAGGGAAAAATCCTTCCTGACTTCAAAATGGCACTCAGATTTTTGTATCAACAAGCTGTCAAACCACATAATAACTATTGTATCTTTGAATATTCTGCTTTCCAAAAAGCATCTACCTCTTTATTTAGAGAAGTCCACATCTTTGTTTTTATTGTAAAGGACCCACTCTCATTTCTTTAAGTTTACAAAGTGACCTTTTTTCATTTGGACTTTCCTATTAATGGACAGATTACAAGAGAGCAGTTTTTTCTGGCTTTGTATATATTTGTATTATATTATGTCAGAACATTTTCTAGGCAGACAGTTATATATTATCTAATCTAGAGCAGAGATTTTCTGTTGGTTGACACAGAGTAAATAGAATTTCAATTCAGTTGTTTGGCACCCTAAATGGAATGGTCCACTACTCTGAAAACACAACACATAGTTATCTATATTTATACAAATTCTTTTTCCAGAGAGCACACCTGGCGTCTGTACAACCGTCAAATACGCAGCAAGCATATGGCGATTAAAAAAATGATAGAAATCCAGAAGAATATTGATGGCTGGGAAGGCAAAGACATTGGGCAATGCTGTAATGAATTCATCATGGAAGGTTCATTGAAAAGGGTTGGAGCCAAGCATGAACGGTATATTTTTCTTTTTGATGGGTTGATGATTAGTTGCAAGACGAATCATGGACAGTCCCGAATACCCAGTTACAACACTGCAGAGTATCGACTAAAGGAGAAATTCATTATGAGGAAGGTTCATATCAATGATAGAGAAGACACGTGCGATTGCAAGCATGCTTTTGAGTTGCTCTCCAAAGACGAGAACAGTATTGTGTTTGCCGCCAAAACAGCAGAAGAGAAGACCAATTGGATGGCTGCTTTGATCTCCTTGCAGTATCGGAGCACACTAGACCGGATGCTGGATTCGGTGCTGATCCAGGAAGAAAATAAGCAGCCTTTACGGTTGCCAAGTCCAGATGCTTATCGGTTTGTAGAAGAAGATTCTGAAGAAAACATTGTTTTTGAAGACAATGTGCAAAGTAGATGTGGGATTCCTATTCTCAAAGGTGGAACTGTAGTCAAGCTAATCGAGAGACTTACCTATCATATGTATGCAGGTATGTTAGCTTATTCAGACATTAGTGCATTTACTAAATGAGTTTTTTCACAAATGTGCTGTTACTGAATAGAGTGTTTTCTGCTTTTTTTTTGGTTGGTTGTTTTTTACATTTGAAATTTTTATTAGTTTTCAAATGTCAAAGGAGAAATAAGAGTGAAGGGGCGTAGAGGAAGAGAGAGGCGACGTGTTTTTTATTTTTTTAGGGTTAGGAATAGTTATTGCCCAGCGGGATGCTGAGTCTGTAATTTGCCAGAGTTCTTGATGAACCACTTTTGCGACTGGTAACCATTCTTCTTCCACTTTGTAGACAATTGCAATTACAATATTTCATCACTCCATCAGCCAAACGTCAACAACAGTAAAAGACCAAATAAAAAAAATACATGTTAGGTCCTTAGTTTCCATATTTTAATAGGGCCCTTCACTTTGCACCTCTAGAACTCACTTTAACTTTCTTTTCTTTGCAGATCCTAACTTTGTGCGCACGTTCTTGACCACGTATCGCTCATTTTGTAAGCCACAAGAATTACTCAGCCTCCTGATAGAAAGGTGAGCATATGCTCTAGCCATTTACTGATCAGCTATAGTAGTAAGCTCCTCTTTCTCTTAGATGTAAAGAGACCGAAAACAGCTTGCAAATTATATAAGAATAACATTTATTAAGACTTCTAATGACACTGAAGGTAACATTGAGCCCCTCCATGTACTGCTTAACTTTCTCATACCATGTGTTATCTACATGCATTTTCATAAGGAATTATTTTATTTGTAGCTGTCACATTTGCTGCTTCCTATCAGTGAGGTGAAGTTAAGTGCACCTCAAAATTGATTTTAAAATAATTTCAGTGTCTTAGAACGTAAGGGTAGGTGTTGATGGTTCCAGGAGAAAATGGTGGGGTGTTTTCGGTTCAGGAGCACAGAGGGAGATGTTGCAGGGTCTGTGAGGGTAGGTTGGGTGTTGCACTTCCTCAAACTTTCTTTCTTCCTTTCTTGTAGTACACCAAAAAAATCAGGTTTTTATTTCTCCCCTTCCCCTGTTAATTTTGCTCTTACATTTGCTAAATAAAAAGACAGATGAATAATAGTGAGATACTTTTCAATTGTAAGTACTTTTTATAATGACTTAAAAGCTGCTTATATATCACAGAAGACTCAACATTGTGCCGATGGCTGTTACGTTTGTTAGAAATAAAGACACCCATTTCAATCTTTCTTTTTTGTGTGTGTGTTTGGCAATGTCTGGTCATCATGGTTGGTTTTCGTGCGGTTACCTTCTGCTCTTAATTTAGGTTTGAAATCCCAGATCCGGAGCCAACTGAAGCAGACAGAATGGCAATCGAGAAGGGGGAACAGCCAATGGCCACCAACTTAAAAAAATTTCGGAAGGAATATGTTCAGCCTGTGCAACTCAGGTCAGTTAAAATTAGGAAGATATCTTGAAACCAAATCACAGCAGAAACATAAAAATGGTGATCTGCCTTAAACATAATGTAACCCAAGATAGAAAAGTTTATCAAAATATATGAACAAATAATGTAAGTTTTGAAGCACCATAACCACTACAACTTCTTGTATTGGTTATGGTGCCAAGGCAAATGTAGCACATATTTATCCTCCTGTCATAAAACCAGTTGTAGAGATAAGGTGTCTGAAGATCGGTAATTTTTTTCAGGGTATTAAATGTTTTTCGGCACTGGGTTGAACATCACTTCTATGATTTTGAAAGGGATATTGAGCTGCTTGAACGATTGGAAACATTTATCTCCAGTGTTAGAGGTAAGACTATATGCATGTTTATTTTATGACCCACCATAATACATTTCCGCAGAATCTAAATTCCATCAGGTTTATTTACGAAAGTGAGAATTCAGGGTGAAGTCAAATTTTCTGAATAGCAAGCATAACCTGACTTAGAGAAGGTTTCCACCTCAGTTACTTATACCTTGAATATGATTTTAAATTTGAAATTCACTTTGAATTCTCACTCTTTATCTGTTTGCACTAACCTCCTCATATCTTTCTCGTTCCATAGCTTCTTTGTTCCCCTATATATTTTTTTTACTGTACTGTAAGATCTGATTGAAAATAAATAAAACATTCTTTCCCATGAAGCTCTAGGCACTAGAACCATTTCAGCATCCTGGTGCTGTCCCTCCATTCTGCGCTAAACCATTTCCATGCAATTTTAACAATGAATGCGTGTTACTGGCCACCCACAGCCCAGCCCCCATTGGAGTTATGGCAAAGGCAGTGATTACACTCTTCCTTAGTCATACCCATAGCATGCAATGGGGAGCTGTGATAGGCTGAATGTTGTCAGCTGACTCTCAGCCTGCTGCTCAGGCTTAACACTTCCTCATTAGCCCAAGCTGCACTTAGTGAAAGGGGAGGCTGGGGACTATATTGTTTAGCGTTATAAATTGAAAACAATTTGACCCCGAATGGAAGAACAGCGCCAGGGGACTTCAGTGAGATGAAGCAGTTACAGTGCCATAGAGTGTCCCTTTTAAGTTGAAGTTGTTTTGGTGATTAGAGGTTTTTTTAATAGTCTTTCTATAGCCACCTGATCTGAGTACAAGCCACTGTTGCGTTTTCTATATTGTATTATTATAGCTTATTATTTTTTTTTAGAATAAAACTTATTTTTTCTCCACTTTTAGGAAAAACCATGAAGAAATGGGTAGAATCTATAGCAAAGATTATAAGACGGAAAAAGCAAGCTCAGGCAAATGGAGTGAGCCACAACATCACATTTGAGAGCCCCCCTCCTCCTATAGAATGGCACATTAGCAGATCGGGACACTTTGAAACTTTTGACCTAATGACGCTGCATCCAATAGAAATCGCACGGCAGCTGACCCTGATTGAGTCTGATTTGTACAGGTAGTTGCCTTTTACATTCTCAATGTGCTTTAAAAAAACGGATAGGGATTCCACATGTGTTACATTTGTGTGATGATCTAGCAGGCGATGTGTTTAGGGAAAGAGGTTGCTATAATGTTTTCTTTTCTTTTTTTTGTGCAAAATTACATTTTTCTTTCTAAAATATTGCTATGGTATTTCTACACTGCTCAAAAAAATAAAGGGAACACAAACACATCCTAGATCTGAATGAATTAAATATTCTTCTGAAATACTTTGTTCTTTACAAAGTTGAATGTGCTGACAACATCATCACACAAAAATAAAAAAATGAAAATCAAATTTTTCAACCCATGGAGGTCTGGATTTGGAGTCACACTCAAAATTAAAGTGGAAAAACACACTACAGGCCGATCCAACTTTGATGTAATGTCCTTAAAACAGGTAAAAAGGAGGCTCAGTAGGGTGTGTGGCCTTCACGTGCCTGTATGACCCCCCCTACAATGCCTGTGCATGCTCCTGATGAGGTGGCGGGTGGTCTCCTGAGGGATCTCCTCCCAGACCTGGACTAAAGCTTCTGCCAACTTCTGGACAGTCTGTGGTGCAATGTGACGTTGGTGGATGGAGCAAGACATGATGTCCCAGATGTGCTCAATTGGATTCAGGTCTGGGGAACGGGCGGGCTATTCCATAGCATCAATGCCTTCGTCTTGCAGGAACTGCTGACAGACTCCAGCCACATGAGGTCTAGCATTGTCTTGCATTAGGAGGAACCCAGGGCCAACCACACCGGCATATGGTCTCACAAGAGGTCTGAGAATCTCATCTCGGTACCTAATGACAGTCAGGCTACCTCTGGCGAGCACATGGAGGGCAGTGCGGCCCCCCAAAGAAATGCCGCCCCACACCATTACTGACCCACTGCCAAACCGGTCATGCTGGAGGATGTTGCAGGCAGCAGAATGTTCTCCAGACTCTGTCACGTCTGTCACATGTGCTCAGTGTGAACTTGTTTTCATCTGTGAAGAGCACAGGGCACCAGTTGCGAATTTGACAATCTTGGTGTTCTCTGGCAAATGCCAAACGTCCTGTACAGTGTTGGACTGTAAGCACAACCCCCACCTGTGGACGTCGGGCCCTCATACCACCCTCATCGAGTCTGTTTCTGACCGTTTAAGCAGACACATGCACATTTGTGGCCTGCTGGAGGTCATTTTGCAGGGCTCTGGCAGTGTTCTTCCTGTTCCTCCTTGCACAAAGGCAGAGGTAGCGTTCCTGCTGCTGGGTTGTTGCCCTCCTACGGCCTCCTCCACGTCTCCTGATGTACTGGCCTATCTCCTGGTAGCGCCTCCATGCTCTGGACCCTACGCTGACAGACACAGCAAACCTTGCCACAGCTCGTATTGATGTGCAATCCTGGATGAGCTGCACTACCTGAGCCACTTGTGTGGGTTGTAGACTCCGTCTCGTGCTACCATTAGAGTGAAAGCACGGCCAGCATTCAAAAGTGGCCAAAACATCAGCCAGGAATGATAGGAACTGAGAAGTGGGCTTTGGTCACCACCTGCAAAACCACTCCTTTATTGGGGGTGTCTTGCTAATTGCCTATAATTTCCACCTGTTGTTTATCCCATTTGCACAATAGCATGTGAAATTGATTGTCACTCAGTGTTGCTTTCTAAGTGGACAGTTTGATTTCACAGAAGTGTGATTGACTTGGAGTTACATTGTGTTGTTTAAGAGTTCCCTTTATTTTTTTGAGCAGTGTATATTGCACTACAAGGCAATATTTTGAAAACCACTTCTGCATTGTATTGATCATTAATCTATGCATCAATTTTATATGTAAAACTGAACAAATGATGCCTGGTTAACCTAGATTACAAAAAGGAAACCTCTAAATCATTATGCAGTTCACACACTGTATTCCCTTATGTGTGCCCAGTGAATTGCTAGGAGCTAAATGGCTCAGTTGCAGAAATCTCTGGTTTCCATTTGTCTCTGACATTATAATCTCAGACTATCATTTTCATACATAGCCTATTGAGTGTCACACCAGTCAATCTCAAAGTAGTCTGCAAAATGCTACACCAGTACTAAGGATACACCAATAGTTAGGGTTTAGGCATTGATCATTCTGTTCTTATAATGGCACTAGCAAAACTTGAGGCTTTGATGTGCCTTGAGGATTGGATTGTGAGCTACTGCACTACCCATAATCCAACAAGGCAGGACCTCATGACCTGCAGTTAACCGAGGCAGCAAAGTGCTACCCTGCATGTAATTCAGCAGGGCAGCAGAGTCCCACACCGAGCCCCCTGTAGTCCAACAAGGTAGCAGGGTGCTGCTCCATCTGTTTCCATATTTGCAGGAATAAAACATTGCAGTTGTGCTTACTTATTAGTGGCGATAACATTGTCTGTACATGACACTTAACTTTGCAGTTTTTTGTTCTGCCTCTCTTTAGTAGTAGAATAGAGTGTTTCACGTTCTCTGTGTGGTCTATATCTCCAGAGAGTAAAATTTACAGTTTTGTGTAATATGTATTTTGTAATTTTACAGGGCTGTCCAACCATCAGAACTCGTGGGCAGCGTGTGGACGAAGGAAGACAAGGAAATAAACTCGCCTAACTTACTAAAGATGATCCGACACACGACAAATCTCACACTGTGGTTTGAAAAGTATGATATACTTTTTTCTTCTCCCTAATTTAATGGTTAATTTAGCAAAGGTGGTGAATTTGGGATGGGACTTAGAATCCTGTATGATCTCTCCTGTTCTCCTTTTAGAGCTGTTTAAGACTGAGGATAAACCTTTGTGATTCACAGCTTTTTTTTTTTTTTCTTCCATTATCTCAAGGCTCACTACTTTTCAATTATCTTTTATTCTAAATTTTGTTTACAAAATATCTTAAATCAAAACTTGTACAAGCCTTAAGGTAACAGCTTACATAACACAATGAATGGTTTAAAGATGTCGGTTGATTTGTTTCTTCATGTTTGCAGGTGTCTTGTGGAAACAGAGAATTTTGATGAGAGGGTGGCCGTTTTCAGCCGGATCATTGAAATCCTCCAGGTCTTCCAAGACTTGAACAATTTTAACGGCGTGCTGGAAATTGTTAGCGCAGTGAATTCTGTCCCAGTGTACAGGCTGGATCACACTTTTGAGGTTAATCTTATTTTCTTCTTCACCCTGGATAAAACACACAGGAATAAAGCTCTACACAGCCTACAACCTTATGTAAAAGTGCTCTAGTTATGCACATTTGTAAATTATATTGTTTTATCTTTGGGTTTGACAAATGTATAGAAAATAATTTTGGAGAGATGGGGTAATGGTTATACTTATACTATTAAAGGGACCGTATAGTCACCCGAACAACTACAGCTTATTGTATTTGTGCTGGTTAGTATAATAATTGCCTTCAGGCTTTTTGCAGTACACATTGTCTTTTCAGAGAAAAAAAATGGCCTATCCTAAGGTGGCTGCAAGAGGTGCTTCCTGGGGCCGTGCTGCTCAGTGTGACAGCACTGACACTCAGTGACTCCATCCTCTGCATGGATACATTTAACTTTCCTCATAGAGATGCATTGATTCAATGGATCTCTATGAGGAGATGCTGATTGGACAGGGCTGTGTTTGGCTTGTGCTGGCTCTGCCCCTGATCTGACACTTTGACAGTGTCAGACAATCCAATGGGAAAGCCTTGTGATTGGCTTTTGTCCAACACTTCTGGTTATGTCAGCCAAGCAGGCAGATCAGGGGCAGAGCCAGCAGCAGCAGACTGGAATAAATGTAAGATTTTGCTATATTTAAGGGGGCTAGATGGTGGTTTTAACACTACAGGGTCAGGAGTACATGTTTGTGTTCCTGACCCTATAGTGTTCCTTTAACTAAAAGGAAGTTTTATAATCACACTGTGCGCACTGTGTACCAAGCACCACATCATATCATGTCTGGGGGTGCAGACCCTGTTCCGCTGTGAATGAATGGTTAGTAAACCATTTATTTGCTTACCTTAATCCAGCGCCAGGCTCCCTCGGCACTGGTGATCTCTCCTCCATTGACTTCAGAATGCGCTTGCGCATTCAAACCCACCTATAGGAAAGCATTACTCAATGCTTTCCTATGGGGATCTTTTTTGACGCTGGAGGTCCGTTGTCAAATAAATGCGATTTACTCTGTAAATTGCGGAAGCGCTGGATTTATCCTGCAGTGTAAACATAGCAATTTTTCTCAAAACTGCTATGTTTTCAGCTGCAGGGTTAAAACAAGGGGGACCTGGCACCCAGAGCACTTCATTGAGCTGAAGTGGTCTGGGTGCCTATAGTGGTCCTTTAACCCCTTAAGGACCAAACTTCTGGAATAAAAGGGAATCATGACATGTCACACATGTCATGTGTCCTTAAGGGGTTAAGATTAAGGGTAATAATACATGTATTACTCACATCGATAGGTGTCCACATGTAGCATATATGTGCGTATATAGACAATCCACTAGGTGCTGTTATTGTATGTTCTTGTAAACATATACTTGCAAATGGTAATTGACTGTTTGGGCTTTCCTTAGGCATTACAGGAGAGGAAGAGGAAAATACTGGATGAAGCTGTGGAACTCAGTCAGGATCACTTTAAAAAGTATTTGGCAAAACTTAAGTCAATCAACCCACCTTGTGTGCCTTTTTTTGGTAAGTGGAATTGTCTTATAGTGACATAAATATGGTCGGTAGTAGCTGTGGGTTAGTTCTCTGTTAATGATAAATTTTAGGTAATTTAACTGCTACATGTCCAAAAACCAGGCAAAGTTCTTACCTTGTGAGAAGCCCCTTTAGTGTACTAAATTTTATCTTGGTTCGATGGCTCTGTATTTAAACTCTTTGAAAGTTCCTGAGCACCATGTTTGTGTCAACAATTGGAAAGTGAAGTGTGGACGTAGTGTGAGAATATATATATTTTATTCTTGGTTAACAGGGGCATAGAAGAATATTTCAATTGGACCTACCACTTGGAGGGTCTCTTCAGTTTATGATCCAACCGTTGGATATTGGTACCTAGAAAAAAATGGAGGAAGAAATGTACTCAACCAAAATACTTTGTCAATCAGTATCTCCACTTTTATTAATAAATGTATTATTTTTTTTAAAACAAACATTTTCCTGGCATGCCAGGAGTCACTTGTCACCCATATACGTTTTCAAGTGCAGAAGAGTAAGATACTGCGGTTTGTGAAAGCTAGAGACCACATGGTCCTCCAAAGATAATCTTGCTCACGTGCATACAGATGCTTTTTTCCATCAGCCATCATTCATGACAGCTGATGGGAATGGTCAAGCCATGCCAGTCTGAAAGGAATTAATACTCTAATTGTGTCCTTTCCTTATACATGTATTATAATAAGTCTCCTTTTTTTTTTTTTTTGATCTGATCTTTCCATTATGTGGAATCTAAATTTCAACTCTATTTTCAGGCAGTATTTTTGTCTTTATAAAAAGTTAAGTGCCAGGATGGCTTTAAATGGTAAGGTTTAAAACATTCCTTAGCTGTAATTATAATTTTCTCAAGAATATAAGTCCATACATTTAAAAAAAATATATATGGGAGAGGGGGTGCAAAAATACTTACACCTGCCCTGTAGCCATACCATGTGGCAGTGGGTTTAAAGTTACACATACCTGTACATGGGAGTACACACAGTAATTAATATACTTATCATATTTAGTGTCATCCATGTGTTTCACTTTATTTGCTATTTCTCTGTTTTAGGGATATATTTGACAAACATTCTCAAGACTGAAGAAGGGAATCCAGATTTTCTAAAGAGACATGGGAAAGATCTCATTAACTTTAGTAAACGAAGGAAAGTAGCCGAAATCACAGGGGAAATTCAGCAGTACCAAAACCAGCCTTACTGTTTACGGGTGGAGCCGGAAATCAGGGTAAACATTTCATGATATTGGGTCTTCAAAGTTTTATTTTATTTGTTGTGCTATTTCTCTTTAGCCCCCCTACTATTGTATAAGAAAATAATAGGCTGGATCTAGGAAATATGAAGGTTTATGTTAAATATAAATGAGCTCACTGGATATCCTGTTCTTCCAAATCATACCAGGAGCTGTTATTGTTTCACCCTTGTAACAGATGGCAATGTTTTAATCTGTGTTGATCTACATAAAGATTGTCAAATGCAGGCATAGTATAATTCAGGTGTTGAGGACTGCCTTCATATTAAGGGCTTTAATTGTTTTTTTTTACTTAAAGGGACATGCATCATTTTGAGACAACTGTCTTACTGAAATGCTTAAGCTTTGAATGAGACTGTTGCCTCGCTCTGCAAGATGAAAAAAAACAAGTAAATATGATATACACATATATTTTATATTTACCGGTTTCTTCTTATTCTTTCCATGCCCACTCCAGGTGGTGTACTGATTTAACCAATGTCCTATCCATTCATACATTGAAAAATGCATTGAGCAAGCCTGACTGAGGTGTGGGTGTCTGATCAGTGATGCCAAGCACACATAGGCGTGCGCACGGGGTGTGCCGGGTGTGCCTGGGCACACCCTAATCCCGCGGCACGCCTATGTATATTGAGACCGGCAGGGGAGATCTCAGGATCTCCCCTGTCGGCTCATGCAGAGCCGGCGCTATCCGAGCGCCGGCTCTGCTCTCAGCCTCCCTCCCCACTGACCCACAGGCAGGGAGGGAGGCAGGAGAGGACCCGGCGGAGCTATTGCCGGCAGCTCCGCCGGGTTCCTCTCGCGAGATATGAGCGTTGCCACGGCAATGCTCAAATCTCGCGAGAGTGAACTCTAGCCCCACAGGGGTTAGAGTTCACTCTCCACTGGACCACCAGGGATCACAGCAGCAAGGATCCCCTCCTCCACTGGACCACCAGGACCACGATCCCCCCCTCCCTACAAAAGGTAAGAAGGGAGGGGGGATAGCAAATAACGTACCCCCACAATCACCCACACACATACAGCACCCACAGACATACACAGCACCCACAGACATACAACACCCACCCACATACAGCACACACAGACAAACAACACCCACACACATACAGCACCCACAAACATACAGCACCCACAGACATACACAGCACCCACAGACATACACAGCACCCACAGACATACACAGCACCCACAGACATACACAGCACCCACAGACATACAGCACCCACACACATACAGCACACACAGACAAACAACACCCACAGACAAACAACACCCACAGACATACAACACCCACAGACATACAGCACCCACAGACATACAGCACCCACAGACATACAGCACCCACAGAGGCTATAGCACCCACATACAGCAGACATACAGCACACAGACAAACAACACCCACAGACATACACAGCACCTAGACATACACAGCACCCAGAGATATACATAGCACCCAGACATACAGCACCCACATACATACCCACAGACAGACATACAGCACCCACAGACATACAGCACCTGTTACTAGACATACAGCACCCACAGACATAGCACCCACAGACATATGAAAATTTACAGACATACAGCACCCACAGACATACACAGCACCCACACACATTCAGCACCCACAGACATATAGCACCCACAGACATTCAGCACCCACAGACATATAGCACCCACAGACATACAGCACCCACAGACATACAGCACCCACAGACATACACAGCACCCACACACATACAGCACCCACACACATACAGCACCCACAGACATACAGCACCCACAGCCATACAGCACCCACATACATTCAGCACCCACATACACGCAGCACCCACATACACACAGCACCCAAGGTTACACATACAGCACCCAGCACACACACAGCACCCACAGACATACAGCACCCCAAGGCATAGCCAGCACCCACAGACATACACAGCACCTACACACATACAGTACCCACAGACATACACAGCACCTACACACATACAGCACCCACACACATACACAGCACCCACACACATACAGCACCCACAGACGTACACAGCACCTAAACACATACAGCACCCACACACATACACAGCACCAACACACATACAGCACCCACACACATATACAGCACCCTCACAGCACCCTCACAAACACACACAGCACCCTTACACACAGCACACAAACGCACCCTCACAAACACAAACAGCACCCTCACACACACACAGCACACTAACAGTACCCTCACATAAACAGCACCCTCACACACAGTACATTAACAGTACACCTCACAAGCGCACACACACACAAACAGCACCCTCACACACAGTACATTAACAGCATCCTCACAAGACACACACACAAACAGCACCCTCACACACAGTACATTAACAGCATCCTCACAAGCACGCACACACAAACACCCTCACCCACATAGCACACTACCAGCACCGTCACACACACATCACACTAACGGCACTCTCACACAGCACACACAGCAGTGTGTGTATGTGTGTATATATGTGTATGTGTGTGTGTGTATGTATATATATATATATATATAATACATATACATATATGCGGCGTGTGCTTGTGCTTTAGGGTGCACACCCTAATGCAATAGGCTGCGCACGCCTATGCAAGCACATACTATAAAATATTACCCTACAGGGTTGTGGAATATGTAGTAAAATACTTTGCAATAGTTCTTTACATCACATAGTATAAAGAGAACGGATGCCTAAGCTATTAGCAGTTTCTGTTAGCTTTCAGTCTGCTCCTGGCACAATTTTATGACTTAAGCTGTAAAACATTATTGCATGACTGCCACTTTTGCACTTGACCATGGCATAGGTGGAGATTTTTACAGCATGTACATGCCATGCTAATAACGAAATGGGCATTGGAGTTTGTGTAGCTTTATGATCAAAGGCACTGTGAGTAAGGAGACACATAGGGCACAAAGAACATAGGTCATTATGGTGCTTGAAGTGTTTCCATTCCCAGTTTACAGAATAAATCTGCTGCATGGAACAGTGCTTGGTAAGAAACACAGGATTATTTACTAAAGCCAGACTTGTCAGGAATTAAAAGGGATTTTAAAATTTAAGGCCAAAATAGCTACACAGGAAAAATTCAGCTCATATGCCAATTCAGCTTCTCTGGCCTTAAATTTGAGAATTGATTTGAAGTCCCAACAGTTCTCACTTTAGTGAATAACCTTGACAAAGTTAATTTGCAAATTAATGTGATTAATTCTAGAACAGTCTGTATTCTTCTCAGGTAAAAAAGGTGAAAGATCCCAATTTGAGGCATAATGAAATGCCATTGACCTTGTGATTATGGTTGATATGGGTAATGTTTAAACAATATATATTGTTTTTGTTCATTCTCGATTTAATATTACACATTACTTGTCTATTTCTTGTCTAGTTTGAGTAAAAATAATGTTCCTTTTTTTTTTATTTGTTTGTTAGAGGTTCTTTGAGAATCTAAACCCAATGGGGAACACAGCAGAGAAAGATTTCACAGACTATTTATTTAATAAGTCACAGGAAATAGAGCCACGAAACTGCAAACAGCCTTCCAAATTTGTGAGTTCATTTATTTTTAATATTTGTAAAGTTACAACAACAAATAACTGCTAAAAAGCCAGTCACCTGGTTACTAAGATTGGTGGAGTTGTGTTTCTTAATGGACGTGCTTGAACAGTCTACTTAAAGAGACACTATAGTCACCAAAACAACTTTAGCTTAAAGTACCACTATAAGCACCCAGACCACTTCAGCTTAATGAAATGGTCTGGTTGCCAGGTCCATCTAGGGTTAACCCTGCCTGCTGTAAACATAGCAGTTTCAGGGAAACTGCTATGTTTACATTAGGGTTAATCCAGCTTCTTGTGGCTGTCTTGACAGCCGATGGAGGAGCTTCTCATTGTGGTTTTCACAGTGAGAAGATGCCAGCGTCCATAGGAAAGCATTGAGAATGCTTTCCTATGGACTGACTGCGCCCACGCGGCTCGCGAGGGAGCCCGGCGCTGGAGAAAGGTAAGATTTTAACACCTTCCTCCTTCAGCCCATCGGGTGGAGGGGACCTATTAATACTATAGTGCCAGGAAAACAAGTTTGTTTTCCTGGCACTATAGTGGTCCTTTAATAAAGGTTTGGTGTACAGATCATGCCCATGCAGTCTCACTGCTAATTTCTTTGCCATTTAGGAGTTAAATCACTTTGTTTATACAGCCCTAGTCACACCTCTCTTACACATCCTTCCTAAATACTTCCTGTAAAGAGACATCTAATGTTTACTTCCTTTATTGCAGATACGGTTTAGTTAAGAAAGTCTTATGCCCTGTTCTGTTAATAGCATGCTAGACACTGGAGAAGCTTCCTGTATGTAATTAAATTTCAATTTGCAGAGCAGAAGATAAAAACTTTTAAAGTAAGTTACACCTGATGTCTGCATAGACAGAAAAACTGTGATTTAACTCATAAATGGCAGAAAATTGAGTAGTGAGACTTCAGAGGCATGATCTATACACCAAAACTGCTTCATTAAGCCAAGTTGTTTTGGTGACTATAGTGTCCTTTTAAGGAGACTGTTAATTCTTGTAAGTTGAAAATTAAATGTGTAAACTGAAGGCTGAATTAGTCATGTTAGGAATATAGCTGAGCTGGAGAACTTGTCCATCTAGATTAATTCGGTCTAGATTTGGCAAATTCAGTTTCCTGTTTAGTGTTTTTTTTTTTAAATTAGCAATTTGCTAATTGTGTTCGTTTGTGTGGTTTTGGAATCGTGGAGTTTGTAATTGTTTGTGTGTTTTCTATTATTGCATAGTAATTTCTCTAGTTACCCATTAATGTCATTCTAAGCAGCCTTTAAATATGTTCTCTGTCCAATTGTTACTGTATCACAATGTACGATTGTGGAAGCGTGTTGGAGAGCTGCATTGCATTAAAAGCTTTATTCAAAATAATATATCTATCACAATCATAGCTACATTTAGATGGGACAGAGACAACATTTTTATTTATTTTTCTCTCTCTTTTTTTTTTTTTTTTTCTTTTAGCCAAGGAAAACCACTTATTCCTTAAAGTCTCCTGGTATTAGACCCAATAGTGGGAGACATTTATCCTCCTCTGGTACACTGCGGGGTCATCCAATGCCTCTGGAAAGAGAACCTTATAAGATCAGCTTCAGCAGGATTACGGAATCGGAGCATGAATCAACGACCTCCCCACCCATGTCTCCCAACACCCCTTCCACCCCGCCTGCATCCGCCTCTTCTGATCTTAGCGTCTTCTTAGATTTAGACCTTGGCAGTTCATACGGTATGTGGCTGTGGATTCTCCCAACACGTATTCAGCTGCATTCAGAGAGCTAATCACTGTCTCTGTTGGAAGAAGCCTAAGCCTTATTTCCTTATTGCGCAAATCATTAGTTCAATCATTTTGATAAGTCTGGTACTAAAACATTAGTCATTTGTCTGGCTGTGAAACCAGGTTTCTGTGTTTGCTGATTAATATTATGTATTTATTGTAAACAGAAGGTTGCTAAAAGGTGTGTTCGTTGATAACCATAATCCTATTTTTTAACTCTAGTTTTTTTTTCTCCACTGAACAATATCACTAATATTGGCATTTCTGTGTTCTTTACTACAAAATGGTTTTTGTAGTGGTTGCATGTATTAAATGATCTGTTGTGGATCAAAACCACTGCAAGGCAATTATTTCAGTGGTGCTCTTCCTGTTTGGTATGCACGTGGGGTACCCCTCCAGATACATTGGGGTCTGTGTCCCCCCCTTTTTTTTTTTCCTACGAATGTTGGAAGGTGTGATAGTTACTTGGTAATTTGGGCTTTAAATGAGATAAGTTCACACATGCCTTTTGCTGTCATCAATCCACGGAAAGAAAGAAAAAAAAACTATTGATATAGTATTATATGTATTGATGTACTTACTAGTATTCCATTAAAAGGGAATAACAAGCTTTCTTAAATTCAATAAGGGAATTTGATTTCTCAGAGGAGTAACATGCTACAACCTTTGATCTCTAATGTAAACTTGTCTATTCTGACTTATAAAAATATGCAGACCCTTTTAATAGGTTTTAAGAGTATAATAGCACAACCTCTCTAAGTAGTAAACTCCATACTCGTACTCAGTATTACGCCAGTACTTTTACAGAAAACTGTGAAGAGTATTGAACATTAATTGTTTAACTAGCCAAGTTCAGTATGTCATACAAGGTTTTAACTGGTTCTTATTAAATAATACGTCCCTGTCTTCCTATGGCACAGCTATGGTTGACTCACGTTGAAGAGAGTACCGGTAGAAAACCAGGGAGCTGGAACATTAATTATGTATCTACATATAAGAATTTAGGACACAAGCATATGACAATTTCATACTTGCAAATTTTGATCTTCTTTACACATTGCCCACCTTATCTTTTCGTTAAACATAGTTTTTATTATTTTTACATTTTATTTATTTATTTTGCAGGTAGCAACAGTATTTTTGCCCCAGTGCTTTTGCCAAATTCTAGTAAGTAAATGCATTATGACTTTGAAACCACTTGTGGTGTTGACGTTGTTGCTGATTTTTCAATCTCTGCAAACTCCCAGATACGTCTTCTGACAGGGTTTTTTTTTCTGTATCCTTTTATAGAGTCTTTTTTCAGTTCTTGTGGGAGTCTCCACAAATTAAGTGAGGAGGTCCTGCTTCCGCCCCCATTGCCTCCACACAGGGAGTTTGATCCAGATACATCCAGCCTTACGGTATGTAGCCTACAATGCCAAAGGTGGCAACACAGACACAAAGTTAAAAGAATACCAGAAGCACCATAACCAATTTTAAGTCCAGTGGAGCCATTCCTAATGTAAGTAGTTAAACCATTTTTGATTTCTTACCTGGGGTCCAATAGGTGCTTCTCCCTACCACTTCCTTTTTAGCCTAAGAGCTGGAAGCTCCCTGCCTGAACTAGTCTGGCTCTACAGGGCTGAGAGCAATCAAAGGTATCTAGTGCAGACAAGAAGAGGCTGGAGTAGCACCTGGTGGGACACAGGTCAGAAGTAAAATTGTTCTAAAATGGTTTGACTACTTATAATGAGGGGAGCACTCCTGGTACCATAACCACTACAGGACACTGAAGTGGATATGATACTTTAAGTGGTCCTTTAATTCACAGTGGGTTTGATTTCATCCTGACACTCCCAAGATGTAATTAAAATAAAACCAACAATTCTCACCTTAAATCTATTAGTAGACCAAACTCAACCCAACTTAGAAGCTGCACCAATGTTTGGACAATTCCATATTCAATATAGTTACAATAACCAAGACTTCTACAGGCGTTGAACTTGAAAGAAAGTGGATGCAACAATGCAGTTAAATTAGCTTATTTGTTGTCTCAACAACATACCAAAATTTTGATCTTTTTTTGGAGAATATTGAATTAGGAGTCCTCACATAACTGACCTACTCCACATTTTAGTCATAAAGACATTGTGTGCTCGAATGTGACCATGCAGAATGGAACCACTCACTGTGTAAATGTGTCTGCATGAGAGGACGGCACAAGTGATGCATTCTGGATTTTAACACGCAAAGCACCATAATCTCTGCAGTTCAGAGCTTTCAGTCATCAGTAGTGGAGCTGGGGAGCAGCACCAGGAGGTCCCCAGGTAAGCTTTAGTGGTTATGGTGCTTAGAGTAGTAATTAGTGCCCTGATTTCATGGCAGTTATGATGGACTAAGATTCTTATGATGACCAGCTAGCTGTATGTCCCACAGGAATCACCTGTAATAGCTGCCATGCCAAGGGTCACCATTATCGGCTTGAGGTTGCACCATGGTCCTATTCTTTTATGTTATGTGCCTTTTCTGTTGAGGGGGATGAGGGCCAACGTATTAATTACTTTTTTATCTGTTTATCAGGGAAGTTGCAAGTTAGATGATGATCCTCCAGCCATTCCACCAAGGTTACCTCCACCTCCAAAGATACGGCCTCGAGTTCCTGCTTACACTGGACCTTTAGATGGACTTTTGCAAAGCCCACCCCCTCCGCCCCCAAGAGACCCACTTCCTGAGACTCCACCACCTGTACCTCAGAGGCCTATAGAACACTTTATAAACTGCCCAATGAATGTGCAGCCCCAACTGTTTGGACGCCTTCACAGGGAACAGGAGTGGTTTCGGGAAGCTTGTACAGCCCCAAACTCGCCCAACACTCCTCCTAGCACACCATCTCCCAGAGCACTGCGTCGCTGCTGTGGACTCAGTGCCAGTCACAACAATCTTGCCCACAACCCAGCTCCCCCCATTCCTCGAAGGCAAATCTCGAGCCCCCAGTTACCAAAACTGCCACCAAAGACTTACAAAAGGGAATTGTCCCAACCTCCTTTGCACAGACTCTCTTTGTTGGAGAATTCCGACACTCCACAATGACTACAGCCACCCTAGTCCTTTACACTGGATAAGGAGAAGCATTTCTTTCTTTTTGTAATTTATTTGGATTCTAAGGCATTGTACTTTACTTTTTAACCCACACCCGCACAGGGGGTTATACTAAACATTTTTACAGTAAATTGCTACTGATCAAAAAAGCAGAAGCATGAATGAATACCATTGGAGGAGACTGTTTCTGACACACTATGGCCTTTTTAACACTACAACAGCGTGTAACTGCCTCAGGTGAAAAGTGTCATTGCCTTGTATTGGATGTTCCAGATATTTTTTTTATTTTATTTTTTTGAATATATGTATATATATATTATATTTTTTTTTGTACTTTTTTTGCACTATAATTTCCAAGTGACAAGTTCCATTGGATATCTGTTGTACTGGAGGAAAAAGTGGCTTTTTTTTTTTTCTTTTCTTTTTAATTTAAGCACTAGTGGCCTTTTTGTTCACAAACCATACCACAGACAAAACGTGTCATTGAAAACATTTTAGGGATCTAAATTTTTACCGTCAGCATTCCAGTTAATCTCTACATCGCTGGGAGTGACAGTCCTGTAGTCCCAGATGGAGGGGGAGATGGGCAAACATAACTGGTACCTTCCTTCTGTGAACTGGTTCACAACACGAAAGGCCTATGCTTTTTTTTTTTTTTCTTCACTCAGAAAATCCAGGGAAGCAGAAAAGTAGACTCGCAAACTAAATGACATGCACTACGTGTTTAATTATTTGCAGTAAAGCACTACCTAAAAAAGGAGTCCCATAAATGGATGTCTACAAACTAGTATTAAGCATGCCTCGTATTCTGATGTGCCTTTTAATTAATTTATTTTTTATTATTTTTTTTTTCTCTCTTTTTTTTCCCCCAAAGCAGGTAAAAGCCAGCATTTGCTTGAACACTTGCCTTCTTTTTTTCTAAGGTCCAAAACTATTTGCCATGATTGTACAGGCCATGTTGTGATTAATTTGTTAAACCTTTGAGCGCTGTATTTGAGGTAATACGTTGTTTTGTCACACATGTGGCATTTGTCTATGGCTCTTAGAAGGTGTAAACAGAGAGTAGTTTCTTGGGGGACCGTGTGTATTTGAGAAGAAGTTGAGGAATGGTAGCAACTATTCTTAAGTCTTGCAAGGCCACAAATCAATTAAATGTTTCCAAGTTTATTAAGAACAAACTGTCCAGTGGTATGTTTAGAGAAAAAAAGTCATTAAATTCACATTTCCCATTAACCCTTTTGTGTGCCTATGGCATGTGTCTACCTTTCAGGGGTTAATTTATTGGGGGCAAAATACATTGTAAGTATTTTATTCATCCAGTGACCTTTAAAGGTGCAATCCTCCTGTTGTCTTTTTTCAATATATACATAAATAAAAATTCTAACAATGACACTGTGTAATATTGCTCTACTAGGAAATGCCTGGACCCAAATAAGGGTTAGCTAAGCGTCATGGGAAATGAATTCAAATATCTACAGCGATAAATTTAGCTATTAAAGACTGCTCCATTGACCTTTACAAAAAAAATAAATGGCTTTGTACTTTTTTTTTTTTTGTGTGCGCAAATTGTGATTAACTTATGAAAGATCTCTGCAAGGCAGAGAACAAGTACTACTGAATTGTTTTCCTCAACCTATTGGCTATTAAAGATCAAATGTGAATTGTGATTGTCTGCAGTGCTGTATGTATGAGAACTGCAGACTTCTTGCTCCATCAAGAGTAATACTTTCAAAAACAAAAGGTACCAAATTTAAAAAGTAAATCTGTTTGCAACCAAATAAGTTTTTAAAGCATGTCACTCCTAGATCTGTTCTTTGACTTACTGCAGAATGTAGGACACATTGGGGTTTATTTGCTAAACACTAATTGTAATGAATTGAAAAACCTAATTGCAAAATGTAGGTGATTTTGAAATTACTCTCCAAGTCTGCAATATTCACAGAATTTAGCCTAACTATAGTGTTTAATGAATAAAAACTCCAACTCCATTGTGTGAGAAGCATTCTCACAATTGAGGCATGAGGCCAACCTATGAAATCAGGTTCAGAGCACACTGAATTGTGATGGTCCCCTGGGAGAGTGTCTAGAAGGATCATTGGCTCCCAAACCAGTCCTCATGATCCAGCAACAGTCCAGGTTTTGTCATCAACTGCATTGGAATAAAAAAAGGGAAATGCATATATCCTGGATTGTTGGGCCATGAGCACTGGTTTGGGAACCATTGGCCTAGATGATGGCAATAGTCCAACTGTTGCTGGGACACAAGCTTCTCAGTGTGAGACATTTGATGAATGTGGTTTCTGGGAGTTTAAGTGCAACAGCTGGAGAGCCTATATTAGACACATGGAGGAGGCTTGTCCTATAGGATGGACTTGCACTCTGAAACCTCAAGTTCTGCTGCAGGCATGTCACCAGAGCAATATTAACCCCCAAAACACAAAAAAATTTATCCATCCCTATAGTTGATTTTGTAATGACAAATGTTTCAACAAGTACCTGTTAATACATTATACAATCTAAGGCTATTACTTACAGATGCTCTGATTGTCTAAGGTCCCCCCTATTCACACAAATGTGAGTGTTCACTGGTTTGTCTACACTCAGGCTTTTAAAGAAATGTTGCAGAATGGTTTTGATGTTCCTGTCCTTGTATTAAGGGAACACTCCATGCACTGTAACCACTACAGCCTGCTATAGTGATGATGGTGCCAGGAGTTCCCTGGTGCCCGCCCTTGCAAGTAGTCAAACGGTTGGACTTCTTACCTGTGGTCTGTCGGGCACTGCACCCAACTGTCACTACTAATGCTGCAGAGCTGGAAACTCATAAGTATGAGTTCACGTTAGCTCTCCTGAGTTAACTTGCATGTCTTAGCTCAATGCAGAGAGCTTCTGGGTCTCAGAGGAGGTGACCTTCACCCTGCAAACCCCAGAAACATTGGCAAACTGTTTAACTCCTCACAACGGGGAGGTGCCAGTGTGCACTGTCATTATTATGGTGCTTGGAGTATTTAACTTTTTTTTTTTTTTTTTATTATTTTTTTTAATGGATTGGCATTGTTAAAAATGTCAGATTTAGTTACAATCACTGATAACCTTACAATGATGTTAACACGTTTACTGAGAGAGTGCTGCCTGTATGTTTGCTAAGGGTAGTGCAGGGATTATCAAATATTTGTAGATTTTAGAAGCCTGTTAGTCATACATATGAGCTACCTTGTGTGTTTTGTGTTTTACCTTAAGTAGAGAAAAGGTTCACCCAGACTGTAGTAGCGTTTTTCGTATCAATAACTTGCCTTGTGTAAAACTCACAAGGCATCAGAGGAGTTACAGTCCTGCCAAAATTGAAAGCCTACCTTTAAGCCATTCCTGCTTAATCCACCCAAGAACCATGGCAGAGGCCCATTTTCAATTTTTAGTTTACCTTGTGCCTGCATGTTGGGTAATCAGCTTGTTTATTTTCATTCCCTTGACACCTAAAGCTAGATTCACTTGAAATAAGCACTGGTAATATTAGGTCTTTAACCCCTTAAGGATACATGACATGTCATGATTCCCTTTTATTCCAGAAGTTTGGTCCTTAAGGGGTTAAAGGAAAACTGTCGTAAATTGTATTAATGAAAGTGTTTCAGGTTGCATTTAATATAGCCTCTTTAAATATTATTTTTCAATACATACATAAATCTTAATTCCCCTTTGCATGCATCTCTTGAATAAGTCTTGCCCCATTCCCATCTTTTAAGTTCTAAATGTTCAGAAGCATCATTTATCCGCTGAGACCATGCAACTATTTGGACGTCTGAAAATATCCCACAGTGCTTTTTTGAGATACGCCAGCACTTTCACAAAATGTCAGGATTCAATAAGGACACCCTGACACGAGTTTTCAATTACCTGCATAAGAGGGTTTAAAGATGGCTTTCCTAATGCAACAGCAGTAAACCAGAAGAAGCTCTGAAAATTGGTATTTACATATATGTGTGCATTACAAATAAATAACACACAGCGGCTCTAAAAGAGTTTCCAACATTGGAAGGCCTACTATCAGGAGAGGGAGGGGTGGGCATGTTTGTGGAATTAGCATCATTATGGCTGCAATTACACATGGGTTTAAATACTCTGAATTGCATTACCCTCAGTCCTTCCAACACAGGTTGACATGGCCTGTCTATAAGGTGATTGGGAGGACTGAGGCAGATTTGGCTGTTTTTGACTGATCTGTTATAGTACATGTTATATTTAAAGGACCACAATAGGGCAGTCTGACCACTTCAGCTTAATAAAGTGGTTTGGGGGCCAGGTCCCCCTTGTTTTAACCCTGCAGCTGAAAACATAGCAGTTTTAGAGAAACTGCTATGTTTACACTGCTGGGTTAATCCAGCCACTAGAGGCGCTTCCACGATTTACACCGAGTAAATCGCACTTATTTGACGCTGGACGTCTCACGGACCTCAAGTGTCAAAAAAAGATCCCCATAGGAAAGCATTGAGCCATGTTTCCGATGGGCGCGCATGTGCATTCGGCTCCACTTGGGAGCTGACGTCGATGGAGGAGAGGTCACCAGTGCCGAGGGAGATAAGATAAGCAAATAATTAACCATTTATTCGCCGTGGAACGGGGCTCTAGTCACCGTTTTGGTGACTATGGCTCTATAGCGTAAGGAAAACATTTGTATTCCTAACGCTATAGTGTTCCTTTAATTTGAAAGTTAAAAGAAAAAAATAATAATTTAATAATGGAATAAAACACGGAAATACATTAATCCTGGACTGTTGGTGGTCCCTTAGGACTGGGTTGGGGAACACTGGTTTAGTACAGACTGTTAACTGGATGTCCCCCTGGCTTATTATAGAAAATTGCCCCTCACTGACACCTCTCGTTTTCAGTCATTTGTCCCAATACTTCTCTATGAGAAGCATCAGATTGGACACACATTAATCAATGCTTTCCTATGGGGGAAAAATCTGGTGCTGGATGTCCTCATGCAGAGGACGTTCAGCGTCAGTTAGGTTTCAAGAAGCGCCTCCATTAGTGCTACAATGTAAACAAAGTGCAATGAGCTGAAGTGGTCTGGGTGCCTATATTGTCCCTTTAACCTCTACTACACTTATTTAACATCTTTCAGTGAAAAATCTTTTCCCATAACCATGATTGAGCATGTCCCTAAGGTATTTTCCAAAAAATACCAGAATGTACCTGGACACATTGAAAACACTAATCTTTTTAATTTATTTTAACGAAAAGCAGGAAGTCACGTTTATGAATATATATATATATATATATATATATATACCAATGTAGGATGACCAGCACTCACGGATTTCCAATAAGTAAAAAAAGTAAAGTTTTATTAATCCATATCGTTCCTGAAGAAAGTCCCAGACGAGGACTGAAACGTTGAAGCAGCTTTTTAAAGATATGGATTAATAAAACTTTACTTTTTTTACTTATTGGAAATCCGTGAGTGTTGGTCATCCTTCATTGGTATATAATATCTTCCCCTGATTTCAAGCACCCGGTCTTATTGCCTTTGGAGCCTGAGTGCAAGGATACTGTGGACGGCTTAATATATATATATATATATATATATATATATATATATATATATATATATATATATATATATATATATATATATATATATATATTTTTTTTTTTTTGTAGATTAAAAAAAAAAAAAACTTTTTATAATGCATTAAGAAAAATATTAAATCCAATCTGCAATGTTAAACTTTTTCCAACTTGGCTATTTATGCCTAATATTTGCCATTTCCCACAATTCTAAGGTTTAGTGACTTTGTCAGTACATGTTGATAAAGTAGACCAGAATCTGTAAAAAATGTTTCCAGTAAAAAAAAAAAGAAAATGCACAATAAAATCTTTTTCTATCTCTTAATGCTTGTACCCATTTAACTACCATGTCTTGGTGGTTACACTTGCTTCACACCCAGTAAATGGCAGATTTCTTGCCTTCCATACTGAGCCTTTGATGACAAATAAATTGGGGAGTCACTACTTGTGGGGTCCAAGCAGTGTTTGTATAGACTTCAAGCCACGTTTTATTTCACGTTCTGTGGCCTGTTAATGTGCTTTGTATCAGTGTTCTTAACAGATGTAATAAATCACTTAGTCTTACTTCTGTTTCCTTGTTTTTGTTATGTTATCAAATTTGCTTGGAGATTTTCAGTGATGTTAAAAGGGGGTGTGTCATGTAATCTACTGGAGATAATGCTTTAAGATTTATTAGCCACATAACTGAAATTACTCACTCCTTTGCATACCTGTGACAGGTGAAATAATATAGCTTTAAACTCCCCGTCTATATACCATTGGGCACTGCACAAGTGACATTATTGCATTTATTTAACTTTTACTCACCTCCTTTGTACTACTTACCACAATTGGCACTTAAAGGGACACTTCATACATCCTAAACCACCTAATATTGCTGAACCCTCCTCACCTACTTATTTTACAGACAGTGCAGATAGAAATTGTCACTTCTATGCATTAACCTTGTTACACTCCCTGGCAATTTAAGATATGAGGGGGAGGAGTTGCCTTAAAGGGACACTGTAGGCACCCAGACCAATCCAGCTCATTAAGGTGGTCTGGGTGCTGTGTCCCTTTTGCACCTAGTGCTGCAATGTTAAAAATTGCAGTTCCAGAGAATTGCAATGTTTACATTGCAGCACTAAGTCTGCCCTCAGTGGCTGTCAGGCTTTTGGAATCCAAACAGACTTTGGTCCGTTATCTAACGCTGGACGTCCTCATTCTCTGCATGATGACCTCCAGCATCAGACTTTTTCCCCATAGGAAAGCATTGGAGGAGGGGGCAGAGCTTCGATCCAGCGCCGAAGTCATTCGGCATAAGGTGAGTAAATAAAGGGGTTTTAACCCTTTATTTACTTGGGAGGGGGAGGCGCGAGAGATCGGTAGTGCTAGGAATACAGCTTTGTATTCCTGGCACTACAGTATCCCTTTAATTGTTTTAAGATTTTTTTCTGGGATATTCGGCCAGCATAAGAAAGAACATCCCATGTGTACTGCCACTATATGCTAGGAAAATAGACACAAATGTTCTCAATTCAGCTGCTTATGCTTAAATTTGCAATTCTCACATATCCCACTTTAGCAAATAAACTGAACTCCTCAAGTTTCAACTCCTTAAAGGATCACTATAGAGTCTTCCTGACCCTATAGTGTTAAAACCACCATCTAGGCCCCTTGAGCCCCTCATGCCTCCATAAATATAGCAAACTCTTACTGTATTCAAGCCTGAAGCTGTAACTCTGCATGCTGTTTGCCCTTTAGAAAAACAAGCAGTCTGCTGACCTCATCAGAAGTGGTAGCCTGATCCAATCATAATGCTTCCCCATAGGATTGGCTGAGACTGACAAAGAGGCAGATCAGGGGCAGAGCCCGCATTATTCAAACACAGCCCTGGCCAATCAGCATCTCCTCATAGAGATGAACTGAATCAATGAATCTCTATGAGGAAAGTTCAGTGTCTGCATGCAGAGGGAGGAGATACTAAATGTTTGGATGCATTTTAGGCAGCCATGATCCAGGAAGGATCTCTATCAGCTATCTGAGGAGTGGCCAGTGAAGTTATCACTAGGCTGTAATGTAAACACTGCATTTTCTCTGCAAAGACAGTGTTTACAGCAAAAAAGCCTGAAGGTAATGATTCTACTCACCAGAACAAATTCAATAAGCTGTAGTTGTTCTGATGACTATAGTGTCCCTTTAAATAACTAACATGGGGGGGGTCACATTATTATTTAAAAAGCGCCATCAAATTCCGTAGCGCTGTACAATGGGTAGACTAACAGTCACGTATTTGTAACCAGACAAGTTGGACTCAAAGGAACAGAGGGATTGAGTCACAGAGTCCATAAATTGCCCTAGGTATGGTTTAAAAAAAAACGTTTCTGGCCATTTTAAATACTTTGAATTATGCATCTAGGGATATCGGTAATATAGGCAACCTGGCTGTGTCCCATTGTAAGATATCAAACTGTTTTAGCACAGTGTGACCACTTACCTGGGTTGCTCATGCCGCAAAATAGGTCTGACATTAGCACTGGATGAGAACATTATCTGAGTGCTCTAAAGTGACGTGCAGCTTTTCCTACTGCATAGGACTGGATGTGGCACGGGTGCCTAGCAGGACCCAGGTAAGTCAATGTGAGTGTAGATATCTGCACCTCTTTATCGTACAAATGAATAATGCCTCCATCTTAGCTCCCTGTAACTTATTGCTATAAGCTCTGTCCATTGCGCCTAGCCATCAGCAGAAAAAAAGCATACCAACGAGAAATTAGACCATCAGATTTATTCAATAAAGAGTGAACTGACAACTTATAGGACAAATGAGCCAAATTTGAAAACTTATTCTAGTCAAATATGTTTGCTGATTGAATTTCAAGCTCTAGGCCAAAATAACCACTTTGGGTTCCCCTACACACTATATTGAATGTCTCATTTGCAATGTGTGCCTGGACTGTACTGGATAGTCATTCGGTAAATCTTTAACATACATTCAGAAGAAAACGGAGCATGATATGAAAAAAGTTTAAAGATGTACTGCCAGCACCATGACGTTTTTGGCGTTTTTAAGTGGTCATGTTGCCTGGAGTCTATATGTGCAGCGTTTCACAAACAAAGATTAACCCCTTCAACGTCATTTGGGTGTCACCTGCGAGCATGGAACTAGAGTTTCGGACTGGCTAATATCAATTTTGTGCAACTTTTGTTGGACAGAATGACGTCATTGTCTGAGAGCCGTCAGCTGATGTTCTCAGCCAATGTACACCAACCACCTGGCTTCTGCAGCTCAGCAGAAGCTGGGAACGCATCGCTAGACCACCAGAGAGCATTGGAGCATGGCTGAGGGCCCAGCTTTATTTAGATATTAAATTGTTGGCATTACAGGTATAATACATGCATATTTTCATAGTGGTATATCTACTTGAAAAATACAGTTCCCCTGCGATTCTTTCTTTAAAGGGTTAATTTAACCCTTTGGAAGTGGTGCTTTGCTGCATTATATGTCCTTTTGGGCACAATGTGGTTTGCAATAAAAGCTAAAAAATATGTGCCTGGTGAAGCTCTCAGTGCTGAATTTTGCGCCCCCTTCTACATCACAGGGGCCACGCATGGTCCAATCATAGGCTTCTTATGAGGGGCAGAACTAAAGAAGAGAGGGCCCACTTTCACTTTCTCCAAGCACTGGTGAGTTTACAGGGGCCCAGTCACACTGTTAAAAGGCTGCAGCGCATGACAGAGCCCCTGAAAACACATTGCCAATGTGGGGCCCTAAGTGCATGTTCCAACCAATGGGCCCCTTGAGCAATAGTTCCGCTACTGCGTCTTAAAAAGAAGCCTGTAATTGGACTAAGCTGGTGTTCTATCAGATTCCCATACCTTGTCAGAATTCTATACCAACGTCACTTTCAGTAACGCGGCCACATCGAAAATGATGAATCTGATAGGACACCGGCTCAGAACGCATTCCCCAGCACACAAGTGCATACATACTCCTACCACCATGATCACTTAAAAAATCCCTGAAGTGGTCATGGTGGTTGGAGTAACCCTTTAAATGTAAATTAATTTTGCCGTCACCTTGAATTCTCAGTTTAATTGATAAACCTTTTTGATATTATTCTTATTCTCTCGAAGATACTGGAAAAGCTAGTTTTAAATATGTGCAAACTATCAACATTTTTTCTATGATTGCATGGAAAACAAACATTAAATTGATGATAATTATTATAAATGACGATAATAACTGCAGTACAGAATAACCTGTAACCTCTACCCGCCCTTCACTTCACTCCACCCTTATCATGCAAAGTGCTGCCCTGCAGTAAAATTAATTTAGTACAGTGCTGCGGAATATGTTGGCGCTTTACAAATAATAATAATAATATTAAAGGAGTTATTTAATCAGGGATTATGAAACAACTGCCTAAATTGATTATCCTTGTTGAACAAATAAATGCCAACTGATTATAGAGGGCAGCTCTTAAACTTAATTTCAAGAGCATTTGGCTGCATCATTTATATTTTAAAGTATAGATATTATTTTATATCCATCCCATGTTCTACAGTTCATATTTTTAAATACTGTTCCCATGGCACAGCTGCTGTCACGTGGACTACATTTCCCGTGATGCTCTGTCAGCTTCCCGCCCCCTCCCCCATGGTTCTTTAGCCATTTGATGAGAAGAGCATCACGGGAGATGTAGTCTGAGCTGGAGCGTTGATTCCAAGCTCCTCCCATCCACAGCAATGGCGGATAATGGGGGCATGTTTATCAGGGAGCTGGAGAGAGGGGACGGGAAGGTGCTGAAGATCCGTCAGCTTTGCTCGGGGGATGTAGGCTGCGTAGTGTGGGATGCCGCCATCGTCCTGGCCAAATACCTGGAAAGCCCTGAGGGGCCCAGAATGAAGGAGGCGTCAGTGCTGGAGCTGGGGTCCGGTACCGGCATCGTGGGCATCATGGCTGGCAGTCTGGGGTGAGGGCACAGTCTGGGCATCATGGCTGGCAGTCTGGGGTGAGGGCACAGCCTGGGCATCATGGCTGGCAGTCTGGGGTGAGGGCACAGCCTGGGCATCATGGCTGGCAGTCTGGGGGTGAGGGCACAGCCTGGGCATCATGGCTGGCAGTCTGGGGGTGAGGGCACAGCCTGGGCATCATGGCTGGCAGTCTGGGGTGAGGGCACAGCCTGGGCATCATGGCTGGCAGTCTGGGGTGAGGGCACAGCCTGGGCATCATGGCTGGCAGTCTGGGGGTGAGGGCACAGCCTGGGCATCATGGCTGGCAGTCTGGGGGTGAGGGCACAGCCTGGGCATCATGGCTGGCAGTCTGGGGTGAGGGCACAGTCTGGGCATCATGGCTGGCAGTCTGGGGTGAGGGCACAGTCAGCGAAATGAAAGGAGGAAGATTATAGGAAGTGCTTGCACTGTAACAATGTGTAGGGATCAAAAGTGGTTATGATTCTTGTAGTTCAGTAGAGATATGTACTACATACAAAAATAAACCCCAAACTTCAAAACAATGAAAAAGACGCTAAAGTCACGCAGACCACTTTATTTAAATGTGTCTAAAGTGGTTTGGGTGCAGTGACCTGTAATGTAAAACAATACAGTGGTGTTTTTTTTTTTTGTTTTTTTTTCAGAAACTACAATGTTTACAATGTAGTATTGAGTCCTAATGCATTTTGGTTTGTCTAGCTAGTGCATGCCTCCTCCTTGAAGTCGCGGAAGGTGGAGAGGTAAGTAGTGCCTAGGAAGTCTCAGCGCTGGGAAATTTTAAGAAAAGTTTTTAACCCCTTAAGGACCAAACCTCTGGAATAAAAGGGAATCATGACATGTCACACAGGGACCTGGCACCCAGACCACTTCATTGAACTGGAGTGGTCTGGGTGACTATAGTGTCCCTTTAAGGGGATAAAATACTCACCTTGTTTTAGCGCTGAAGTTCTTCGGTGCTGGGTCCGCCTTTTTGACGAGGGGGAACTTAATGTACGTGCACAGCGAGCGCCGTGCATGTAATAGTGCTTCCACATGGAAAAGCATTGAATCAGTGCTTTCCTATGTACAATTTGAAGACGCTGGATGTCCTCATGCACAGTGTGAGGTCATTTCACAGACTTAAAACTGCAGGAAGCGCCTCTGGAGGCTGTTTTAATCCTGCAATGAAAACATTGCAGCTTCTCTGAAACAGGGTTAAGGGGACTGGGACCGTGCACCCAGACCACTTCAATGAGACGATGTTGGTTGGGTGCCTATAGTGTCCCGTTAATTTATACAAATTTTACTGCAAACAGGGGGAGGGGACACTATAACGCTATAGTGTTTCTTTAAAGGGGCACGCTAAGCACCTTAACAGAGTAGTGGTTATGCCAGCAAGCACCTGAGCCATCCCCTTGTTCTATGTAAAATAGTTTGACACCCCCCACAGTATTCCACAAAAACATCTGCATACAATTTTCTCTCTCTCCCACTCGACTGGAGTCATTTTATGCCAATCGTGTTACTTTTTTATTGCTTTGAAAATTCTTCTATAAAAATGGATAAAAAATAAAAATTGCAATGGTATGAAAAAACAAGTTAGATTGATGCAAAAAAAAAACAATCATAGCGCAGGATCTGAATACTTTGAATGCACTTTAAATAAATCATTACTTATGTCCCATATTCTTTCACAATTCAGTCGCTATAACGCAGATTTCAGATTTTATTTGCTCCTTTTACTGTGTAGCACCAATAAATATGAATATTCTTATTATAGAGGCACTCCAAGCACCATAATCACTGCGGCTCTTTGTACTGATTTTAGTGCTGCGAGTCTATGGGCTGTATATTTTCTGACAAACATGGATGCTCATAGCCTGCCACACTGATAATGAAGAAATTACACTCATGTCATCTGCGTGACCCATCCAAGATGGATGGCAGTGTACGGCTGATGGTCTCGGGATAGCCTATGTAGGTTACATTGCAATTCTAATTTCTCACAATAATTGTACTTTTGCGTCGTTGGCTGCATCTCATTATGCTCTATATATTTAATATTTATTTTTTCTTTTCCCAGGGCAAATGTCATATTGACAGATCTTGAAGAATTACAGGATTTAATGAAAATGAACATTGATCGTAATGCGGATCTTATAACTGGTTCTTGCCAGGCGAAGGTACTGAAATGGTTTGTATTTCTGTGCTTTGCTGTGTCTGTTGTTGTGTTGTTTGATGATCTTAACCTTCTGTCTATTGCACTGTTGTGTAAGTTAAATATTTTTTTAAATTTCTTGCAGGGGAGAAGATGTCACAGAATTCATGCCTCCATCTAATTACATCTTGATGGCTGATTGTATCTACTATGAAGAAGTGAGGGGATTTAAATATTTACCCTATGACCCTAAACAGATTAATTTCCAGGGAAACTCCATTATGTTGTGTGCATTTTGTAGGTTAGATATAATAATGAGTGATATTTGTATTATATGTCTTTTCTCCCTCTTTCAAAATTGTCGTCTAGGCTTTCAGTACAGGTACTCTTGCATTAAATTTGAATTGTAACTTAAGTAAAGTGCAAGGCTAGCATGTTGGCTGAGAGCACCAGCTGATCTCCCTCAGCCAATGAGCTAAACCCTGCACTGAGGGGCTTAGCTTAGTGAAAAGAGCTTTTGGCTAAGCAGTCCGCACTACTGACTGAGTAGTAGCAGAGGTGGGAAGCAAATCTAAGGTAATAAGTCAAACTATTCTAAAATGGTTTGATTCCTTACAATGAGGGGGAACTCATAACCACTACAGAATGCGCATGAAGTACTTAAAAAATCCAAGGTCTTAACAGCTTTACCTAAAAGGATGTACTATTACTTGATGGAAAAGGGGCCTTAAGGACACTTGTCATGTAATAGTATGTCCATGTTTTAATCAGCAGGGGTTAATTTCTGCTGCCGGGAGGTCCAAGAATTAGGGTCTGCGCATCCTATAGGCGACTTAGGCAGTCGCCTAGGGTGCCCCTTAGGAAGAAGCGCCCCCCCCCACCCCCCCATGCTGCAGCTGCCTGAACGCTCTATAGAGAGCCTCAGGCGACTGCAGCACTGTCCGGGCCGGCGTGTCCATGAGGGATCAGCAGGAGGGAAGCGCACAGCGGTCTCTCCTGCTAGGCCCTCAGTGCAGTGTGGCCAAGCTCTGGTCCGCGGTACAGGAGCATCCGTTTCCTGTACTCAATGAGCACTTCCTGTCAGTCTGGCTGGGTACAGGAAATAAACTCCTGTACCGTGGACCGGAGCTCGACCACGCTACACAGGCTAGGAGAGGGAGGCGGGAAAGGGTGAAGAGACCACTGAGGGAGCGGGGGGGGGAGGGTGAGAACAAAGGGGATGGTAGGACTCAGCCCCTATCCTACCCCACAAACTCTTTCACACAAACACACAATGCATCCCTTACACACACACAAACACACACTGCCTTTTTTACACACACAGAAAAACACACCTTGCATCCCTTACACATACAAACAGATTCACACAACGCATCTCTTAAACACAACCAGAAACACACAATACATCCCTTACACACAAACACACACTGCTTTCTATTTCTTACACACAAAAAAAACACTATAGTCTCCAGAACCACTGCAGCTTAATGAAGGTTCTGGTGTCTATAGCCTGTCTCTGCAGGCTTTTTAATGTAAACACACACTGACCTTGGTTCATATGACAGATCATATTGGTGGGGCATTGTGATGTCACATGGGGGGGAGAGGGGCGAATATTTCCTTTGGCAAAAATCATTGCACCAGTCCTGCCAAGTATACAACACCTCCTCAGATAGGATGAATAAATGCATATTTTATTTTAAATGCCTTGTTCAAGTAAGTGCATGTAAAAAAATGCATTTTTTAAAATTTTATTTTGAAAACAGAAACTTTACCGTTAAGATACAAGCATTCATTCCCCCCCCCATCTTTCTATTTTAAATACAGTCCTTGCGTCCATTGGTTAAGACTCTGAAAGATCTTGCCAGCCCAGAGACATGTATACTGTGCTGTTATGAGCAAAGAACAACTGGCAAAAATCCTGAAATTGAGAGATTGTTTTTTGAGGTAAGTCGATATAGTCCAGATAATTTGATTTTAGTTCATTGTGCATCAAGATCTTGCCTTTATTGTTCAGTCTCTTTTCAATACTAGATCTCCTCTTGTGTCTCGTGACTAGAGTCAACGTTTACTTTGTCGTGGAGAATATAGGAATTAGACTGACTTTTACATGGACCACTCCAGACTAATTCTTGAGTTTAAAATCAAAAGCACAGTTTAGTAGATGCATGCATTTATTGGTGTATATCTCAAGTAGAGCTCACCTGCCACTTGCGTTGGTTCAGGGGAGCTAATGGAAGGAGGCATTAGACTAGGACAGCTAGGGGTTTGAATCCATAATTTATTAATAAGTTCTGATTTCTCATAGAAGTAAATCACTTTTATAAACTGGGGTAAAAATAATATACTCTTCATCCGAAGTGCTTTTTTTATTGGGGTGGAATTGTTCTTTAAGGAAGTCAGTGTTCCATTTAAATTTGAATGGAATATCTAGATTATAAAATGCATTTTTAAGCATGTGAACAATTCAGTAAAACAAAACTCCACCCGCACATTTCACAGCCTAAAATCCCATCTGAATGTGTTTTCTGATCTAAGCAGACCTGCCCCATTTTGCCCAGCAGAATCGTCCTTGTTTTGAAGCAAACTGAAATGCTTTAGAGGACTAGTGTCCCCCCTTAAAGGACCACTCTAGGCACCCAGACCACTTCAGCTTAATGAAGTGGTCTGGGTGCCAGGTCCTTCTAGGGTTAACCCATTTTTTTTATAAACATAGCAGTTTCAGAGAAACTGCTATGTTTATCAATGGGTTAAGCCTTCCCCCTAATTCTCTAGTGGCTGTCTCATTGACAGCCACTAGAGGCGCTTGCGTGCTTCTCACTGTGATTTTCACAGTGAGAGCACGCAAGCGTCCATAGGAAAGCATTGTAAATGCTTTCCTATGCGACGGGCAGAATGCGCGCGCAGCTCTTGCCGCGCGTGTGCATTCAGCCCAGGAGGAGGAGAAGTAGAGGATCGGAGGAGGAGAGCTCTCCGCCCAGCGCTGGAAAAAGGTAAGTTTTTAACCCTTTCCCCCTTCCAGAGCCGGGCGGGAGGGGGTCCCTGAGGGTGGGGGCACTCTCAGGGCACTATAGTGCCAGGAAAACGAGTGTTTTCCTGGCACTATAGTGGTCCTTTAAATAAAGATCATGGTCCGTACTTTTTAATTTCAACTGTTAGGTTTGATTATAATCTCGTACCTGTCTGTCAATGAAAAAAAAAAAAAAATAAGCTGCATTTTGCTAGTCCATTCATTCTGCGTTGAGCAGACTGCCCAGTGATTTCATATTTTTATTCACATTGTGCGGAATTTACATTTTTTTTCCTTTAAGCTGTAGAATATTTCCAAAGTGAACTATTTGTTTGGTTTTACGTTTCATGAGTTGGCATAAAAGACCTTATCAATGGCAGTCTCTCTATAAACATGCAGCAGAGGATAGATCAGGATTATTTATACAGAGCTATTCGCAATGGAGTAATCCGCAGTAACATTCAAGTGCTGCTGAATTGTCAGTACGCAGAATCCTATATAGTCTTCTTTTGTATGTCAGCTGCATTTTGTAATATTTTATGGTGTGATATCGGAATGTACATTGAGATAACTATTTATAATGGCATATTTTATTGTGATGGCTGCCCTTCTTTGACCTGCTGTTGGTAAGGGTTCTGTATGATTTGGCCAGTCAGCACTTTTATTGGTCTAATTGCTCCTCTTAGTGTTACCTACTCGATGCAAGGCATACCGAGGATTTTGTCATTAAACTGCATTATTCATGTGAATATACCACAGGGCATTCTGTTCGATAGCATTCCGAGATTGAATATTATTCCTGCATTGCACAGGCGTTGCCAGTCAATGACGTAACTTGCATAGCTTCAGACATCCTGCAATACTTGTAGCTAATCCAAGAATACTTCAGTGGGCATTGCATTCTGAGAAGTGTGTACAGTTAGCCTCAGTTTTGCAGTTTAATGTAGATGTAATCCAAACCTCAATATGGACATGGGCATAATGTGCTAGTAATACAGACAATTAAGTTGTAGCCACCCTGACTTCTTGTCTTGAAAGTTGAATCCCCTGATATCATGTCTCTGTGACACTTTTTTTTGTTTAGTTAATGAAAGACAACTTTGAAATTGAAAAGGTGCCCCTGGATAAACATGACACAGAATACCGGAGTGAAGACATTCACATACTGCAGGTTTACAAGAAGAACTAGGTGAGATCAAGATCACTACAGTATTTACCAGTATATGTATTACTAAAGGGACACTAAAACCATTTTAGCTTAAAGAACCACTATAGGCACCCAGACCACTTCAGCTTAATGAGGTGGTCTGGGTGCCTGGTCCAGCTAGGGTTAACCTTTTTTTTTTTATAAACATAGCAGTTTCAGAGAAACTGCTATGTTAATGTTAGGGTTAATCCAGCCTCCAGTGGCTGTCTCTTGACAGCCGCTAGAGGCGCTTGCATGCTTCTCACTGTGAAAATCACAATGAGAAGACGCCAGCGTCCATAGGAAAGCATTCTCAATGGCTGGCTGGCTGCGCGCGCAGCTCCTGCCGCGCATTCAGCCGAAGAGGAGGAGGAGAGCTCCCCGCCCAGTGCTGGAGAAAGAGGTAAGTTTCCATCCAGCCCGGTGGAAGGGGGACCCTGGCACTATAGTCGTCCTTTAATGAAGCAGTTTTGGTAAATACACTGATGAACATTTAAAAATACAGACAAATGAAGTGAATAACATTGATAATATCGTTACAATGGCACGTGCCAAGAGGTATATTAGGTGGCAAGTTGAATAATCACTTCTTAAATTTCATGTGTGGGAAGCAGGAAAAATTTGCACGCGTAAAGATATGAGTGACTTTGCCAAGAGCCAAATAGTGACAGATAGGTCAGAGCATCTCCAAAATGCCAAGTCCGTGGGATGTTCCCTATGTGCAGTGGTTAGTACCTATCAAAAATGTTACAAGAAAGGACAACTGGCAAACCGGCATCAGGGTCAGGTGTGCCCAAGGCTCACTGATGCACGTGTTTAGTGAAGGCTAGTCCGTCACACAAAAGAGCTACTGTAGCTCAAATTGCTGAAAAACATAAAGCTGGTCTTCATGGAAAGGTGTCAAAACACAAACAAAAAAAGTCAGGCCTGGTGAGTTAAAGCCTGGGTTGTAGCATAGGACTTCAAATTTTAAAACCCTGAAATAGTGACTTATCACCTAAATGGCATATGATGGAGAAGTGAGACTGCAGGGGCATGATCTATAACCCACTGCAGCACACTGTCATTACTCAGGAGTGCTCAGGCATTTTTCCAGCGTAAATTGGAAAACGGTTTGCGAATGGCTTGATAATTTACCAGGGTTCCACCAAGAGCCCTTCTGACTCTCCAGGGGCAGCTAACTGGAGCACTTCAGGTAAGTTCTCATATAATTTGCACACGGGTTGTCAGCTTCTCCTAGAAGGTTGCCAGGGCACTTCTGGCACCATAACCACTACAATGCACTGTAGTGTTTATGGTGCTTTCAGCTCTTCTGTAAACAAAAAGGAAAGCAGTTTTCTTGCTTCAGAAAAAAGTTGTCATGGAGAAAAATGGCACACTTTTTTTCAGAAAAATAAAAAGACGGAAGAAATTCAGTAAGGAATATTTAGGCACAAATAGGAAATGGGTAAGAAAAGTACAGCATACACATTGTGTGCAACCACTTTTTTTTGTTTTGTTTTTAAACCTAATAAAAATGTATCATTGAAATTTTCTTTAAAATTACACTAAGTCCTGTTAGTCAAGAAAGGTCCCTTATAAATTTATATCAGTTGTGTCTCGAGCTCAGATATATATTGTATTAATACATTGGTCTCTCGTGGTTTTAAAGGGACATCATATTGCACAGTTTAGTGGTATTTCTAATTTCATTTCTCATCCTCTTTTAGAATGTAGGGATTCATGATTCTGATGGAATCGGCCCTGTAAAAGCATTGCATGCTTCGTCGTGGATTACTGCCTTTTGGGTAGATGTGTTAACCAATTAAGGCAATCCTGGAGGCTCTGTTACTGACAAGCTATAAGAACAAAGCATGGCGGAGTTTAACATTGACGAAGTACGGCTGCAAGAAAATCACGCATGCAGTAAATATGGCCGTCTCTGATTCTGGCCAGTACATGAAGTCCTGATCAATAAACATCTTAATAGACTTAGTGAGATTTGAGTTTAACAAATGTTGAATTCTCACTGGTTGTCTTGTTTGTTGTTAACAAATGTTGTTGAATGCTTGCTGTTGGTCTTGTTTGATTTCCCCCCTCCCCAGTGTTGTGCAATATGCATGACTGTTTTTATTAACACAGCTGATGCAAGAACAATATTACAATGCCCTCTGGATCTGATGGTTTAAAGATGTTACTTTGTAAAAAAAAAAAAAAAACCTTGGTCTTGGAAACAACTGCATTTTTCAAATTAAAATAATATTACATTCTGGTGACCTGGCATTTTGTGTATTGACGGCATTTGTAA